GGGGGGAGGGGGGTTTAAGTAGTAAAAAAAGTAGACTGTACAGCTTTAGATTACGTACCATTTCATCATAAAGCTTTTGAATAAAAAAAATGTCCACTATTTTGTGAAAAAAAATAGTGAACATAATGTGAAAAAAGTGGACTGTCCGCTCAAATAGTGGACACCTGGCAACCCTACTTCCGTATCTTTCCTCCTATCCAGAAAGTGCGCGTGTAATGTTCCTCTGGCTCCCCAAATGGTTCATACCTACCAAATATGTCCGTCCTTCCCCACCCCCTCTTTTTTTAAATTCTGCTTTCGTAAGCGAACCTTTCTGGAAGTAAAAAGTACGAGGGTCTCCATTTTGCACCTAGGTCAACCTTCCTTTGTTTCAAACTTTCTTCAGATAAAGGTGGTTCCGACCAAGTTGGGCAAAGTAGACGGAGGTTCTTGGGTTGGCCATTAAGGCGCAGCTTGGGCGGAAAGATTTCCATCCCGGTTGAAAAAATAATTGCGATGATAAACAGCAAACCGAGGAGAGGATCGCAAGCAGCGTTTAATACATTTCAAACGCTGTTTTCTTGCATTTCTTACTAAAAGGCCAAGGTCAATAACCCCATGTTGCAGCCCTGAAGTTGAAGATGGAAGAAAAGAGGCTTACCGAGGATAATTTCCTCCATCCAGGTGAGATTTACAACAAGTTTTCTGGCAATTTAAAGCAGCAGTTTTTCAGTTTCTGGAGAGGGAGAAAACTCTTCAGATACCTTGGAGGTCCAAATAGTTTATTTGAAATAACAGAAGTCTAAGACAAGCCAGCCAGAGCAAAACCCTGGAAGGGGTGATGGATGGAAGGATGGAAGGATGGATGGATGGGTGGGTGAGTGGGTGGATGGAAGGAAGGAAGGAAGGAGTTTCTGTTGGAAAGACTGTTTTCTGCTGGAGCGAGGAAGCTGGAAGTAGCTTTGCAGTTCCTCCATGGTTTTTAGAGAGAAGGGGAGTTAATAGTTTTTGTGCAGAGTTTACTCAACTAGAGGAGCAGGAAAAGTGAAGGATCGGACCTCGCGTAGCCCGTCTTTCGTGCAGTTCCCTCAGGAATCTTTTAAATCTCCTTACACCTCAGAAATCAATATGCGTGGTTGCATCAACCCTCTCCCGGGCTAGATCCCACAACTGACTCGGCTTGTTGACCCTTCTAGCCTTTCCTTTCTAGAAACGCTGTAACGTTTTGGTTTCGGGACGGTGAACGCGGTCAGGCACAGGGCGGTGTATCCAGCGGGCCGATTGGTAAAACCTCTAATCCAAAGGAATCTACGTTGTGGCGTCTGCAGAGAATTGCATTTCGTGGCGGCCCAGCGAAAAATCCCAACCTTCGTATTTTTAGCTTTCAGGATTACGACGTAGCCGATTCCCGCTAGCTCCGCTCTTGGAGAATCGTCTACTACTTCTCCTGATGGTGGAATATTTCCGTAGAGCTACAAATGAGACAACCGAGAAGCTGCGACTCCGAAAACTGGCCTAAAGTTACCGACAGAGGCAGGGTCCTCTTAGCGACTGCTGCGCTTCCTACACGGCGACCATACCTTCCTAAACTTGCTGGCTTCGACCTTGTACACAGCTACGCCGTCGCTCCACTGGCAGATCAGCTGCTGGGCCCCGACGTGATCGCGCCTTTTTACAGGTTGCTGGTACTGAGTCTTTTTCTGCTTGTCCTAAATTGTTGAGGTGCTTCCTCATCTCGATGGGCTGCTCAGTTTGTGTGTGTGTGTGTGAGAGAGAGAGAGAGAGAATGAGTGAGTGAGTGAGAGAGACAGACAGACAGACAGACATACAGACATAGACAGAGATGCACCTACTACTACCGTTTTCTTCCGTTCGTTTAAAAACAAATTAAAACCTCGCACAATATGCTTCCGTGTTCCTAAACTGGCACCTACCAACTAAGATAGCGACAAAAAGAACTTCATTCCAAAGCAGCAGAAAGCTTTTTTTATTTTTTTTCCGCAGCAAGCTCATTTCTCCGTAAATCTTTTTTAAATAGCCTTTGGTCCCTCAACTGTAACGGATTTTCAGCCAGATCCCAGACATGTTTACTGAAAAGGAAATCGCCCTGTTGATTGCAGCACTTTAGCTGTGCTTCAGATTGCTCCCCGACGCAAAGTCGGCAGGAAATACTTCTCTCCAAAGTTGGTCTCTTGCAGATGGGACAATCTCCCTCCGAAAATGCGCGAAGGCTCTGGGGTTCGGCAGCAAATCGCCAGGCCTTATATCCGCCTCCGGATCAAATCATGTAGAGGAGCAAAAATATTTACAAGTAGGCCTTTAATGGAGACGGATAAGTGCGCCGTATTGAGGGATCGCCATCAGGATCTCAATGACTTTCCCAGCCATACGGGAGTATTTCTGTTCCTGATCGCAAAGAGAAAGCAACAAGCAGTGTAAGAATCCACAATGGGTGTCCGGGACACGTTTGCAACCTAAGCCTAGAGAGTTTGCATGAAATGGTTTCGTGGCCAGGCCGTGGGGACCCGCTTTTGTTTTTCCTCTGGAGCCCGTGTTGCACCTTCCATGCCTCTTTGCTCCCCCTGTTTATTTTGAACCTCCCTAGATTAGCAGAAGAGTCTTCTGCTGTCCATTTGCTCAGTGAAATTACCAACATTACTGTTGAGAAAGTGAAAATGCTGCCATTTTCACAGGGTCCTAAGAAGGTGCTATAACCGGCAGGGCAGAAGAATCCTTGCAAACATCAGTGATGAACTGTTACATCCATTTCCTATCGAAAGGAAGTCACCTACTCCTTCGGGGAGGGGGGAACAGACCCTTCCTCATCCTGTTCCCTACTGAGGGCCCTGCTACCTAATTATAAAGGTCATTATCTGTACCTCTGGTTTAAAATCTCAGCACCGTTAATTTCAAGGGGAAATCAAATCTATTAAACTCTGTGGATCCACTTTAAGTAATGGCTACCGCGAAATAAAGTGCAAAATAAAGTACAGGAAGTCCTCGACTCTCCTACAAGTCAACCTCCTACGAGTTGGGTAGTCTCTTTGTATAGCCCTGTTTCAAAGATTATTTGCAGAGAGCTGGTACAGGAACCTTGTGGATTCTTATTTTTGGTTGGGGTTCTCTAGCTTGCCCCACCCCAGAGAAAGGAAGGGAAAGGAAGGGAAGGTGAAAGTAAGAAGAAAGAAGGAAGGAAGAAAGAAAGAAAGAAAGAAAGAAAGAAAGAAAGAAAGAAAAAGAAAGAAAGAAAAAGAAAGAAAGAAAGAAAGAAAAAGAAAGAAAGAAAAAGAAAGAAAGAAAGAAAGAGAAAGAAAGAAAGAAAAGAAAGAAAGAAAAAGAAAAAGAAAAAGAAAGAAAGAAAAGAAAAGAAAAGAAAGTAAGTCTTGGCAGCGGAAAAAGGGGGCCAGCTGGTCCAGCTGGGAGGGGGGAAGTTAGGAAACAGAGCCTGGGAAGAATTTTCGCTACCCAGCACCCACCGGACCAGGCTGTAGAGCCTCCCATTCCTTCCCTTCTCTCTGCTCCTGAATTCTGCAACAATTCCCAGGAGAGAACAGCAGAGCCAACAAGAGGGAAATCAAGAAACTTCGCACGAATTTAATCCATTTTATCCATCGGTAGTGACGTCATTGAATAGCCACACTAAATCATTCTAACAAGTTAACGTGAAAACGAGTAAAGGGACTTTCAGAACTGACCCCCGTACTTTGGGTACCTTCCTCCCATCTCTCTCAGACTTCCCCTTCCTCAGCCATCTGTGGGAAAGGAAAGGAAAGGAAAGGAAAGGAAAATTTGGAGCTTTTTATTCACATTGCATACACAACAGGATAAATTCTGATCATCACAGCTAATTGGGGAACCCAAGATTACAGCGGCTATAATGACTTATTTTTTTCCTAGACAGATGTTATAAATAATACGATGATTATTAGGAATAATAAAAAATATAGCATTCCTGTTCCACAATAGACCAGACAACTAGAGTTAGAAAACTCATAGCTTTTGCCAATCCCTTTTAGTCTTATTCACATACCCGCAGACACACTGCTTCTGAACCAGGTGATGCACTTGATCGTGGCGAAAAGCCACCTCTGCAATGACGTTCTGATCTTTTTTTTTTTTTTAAACCGTCCAGCGAGGCAATCCACACAACTTTTAACAGCCCTGCATACATCACAACCGTCCTTGTGATGATGGTCATTGTGTGTCATTGTTCTCTTTAGTAACATTGCTTTAAAACGATGGGGAAGAGGGGCCCCGCCACAGGTGACCGAAAGCAGATGGCCGCCGTCCTCCTTCCTTTGGGAAGCTCCCTTCCCTCTTCCAGGAATAAGACTTAACGGGGCTCTGGTGGTTCAGGGGCCCGGCTTGCCCACCCTTCGCCCGCCTCCGCAGCCCCCCGATCACTCTCCAAGGCAGCTCCCGCTTACCCAGCCGGGGAGGGCGCTGGGGGCGCCCCACCCGGCCCTTTTCTTCCGCGTGTCCCTCCGAGTCTTCTCGGAAAAGTCAAGCCAGGCGACGCCGAGGGATGAGCGGGAGATCCCGGCACTCGGGCCCAGGGGCGGGCAGGGCGGGGAAGCGGGGCGGCCGGGCCAGGTGGAGTCAGCGGGACCCCGCGAACCCTGCCCGGGCGGCGGTCTTGAGTGGTGCCAAGGTCCCCGCGCCCGGGGCTCCGGGGGGCCCCCCTCGCTCTCCAGGCCCCCGAAGCCTCGGCGGTCCGGCTGGCCCGGCTCTTCCCCGCGGCCGGTTCACCTTCGGGCAGGTTTCCTCGGAGGGCCGCTCCCGCTCCCCGCCTTCCAAGGGGGGCCCGGCCCGGCCCGGCCCCTCCTCGCCGTGACGCGCCCCGCTGGGCCGAAGAGGCGGCTCCGAGGCCAGAGCGGGCTGCTGGTCCTCGCCGAGGCGGGGACTGGCAGAGGCGGCGCCGCGTTCGCATGGACGCCACTTCGCCTGGCTTCGCTCCCGGGCGCGGCCCTTCTGCCCCAGCCGGGCTGGCCGTCTCCCTCCCTCCCGCCTCCCTGCCCAGGATGCTCCCCAGCCCCGCCACCTCCACCTCCACCCCCTTCTCCGTCAAGGACATCCTGAAACTGGAGCAGCAGCAGCAGCAGCAACGCCTCGGCGCCCCCCTCGAAGCGCCTTTCGCCCCCGCCGCTGCCTCCTGCCTGCTGAGCTGCCGCTTCTCCGACCGAGAGGAGGACGACGACGAGAGCGAGGAGCAGCAGCCCTTCTTGTCCCCCATGGCCTCGACCAAGAGCCGAGCGGACGGGGGCTTCTCCCCCGGCGGCTACGTGCAGGCGGTGCTGCGGGGCACCTGCGAGCCCAAAGGCCCGGCAGAGGAGGCAGAGCCGGCGCAGGACTCGGGAACCGGTGAGTCCGGGAGGAAGGTGGGCAGAGCGCTGGGGCTCCCGGCCCTGGGAGACCGCGGGGCCGGTAGCAGAGCCCGCCGAACCCCCGCGGACGGCTCCAGACCTCCTCGAGTGGCCCGGAGCCGGTGCGGTCCGGGTTGCCCTGCCCTCCCCTGGAGCCTCCGAACGATTCCTTTGTCAGCCGGAGCAGATGGGGATGCTGAGCGCGGAACATCTGCCCGGCACGCATTTTCCCAGATGTTTCTTCTCGCTCTGCAAGGTCGCTTCGGGCCGCTCTCAACCTCTTTCCGTGGGTTCTTCGGGTGGTCTCTGCTTTAGCACCCCGATCCTGCCCGATCTGGTTGGGGACGTGATGGAAGCTGCTTCGGAGAGTAAATTGTCTTGCGGGGGTCTCTGGAAAAGGCTGGCGGCTGTGGAAGCACTCGGGTTATGATCGCTATTGTCGAAATATTGAGACCCCGTGTATCGGGCTGTGTCCCTAAAAGGGAGGGGGTTGGTTTTTAATTATGAAATAAGATTGGTTTATTTGAAAGGAAACGGTCACAGGTTATCTTTGTGCAGGGGCATGCAACCCTGTACCCGCCATCTGGAGAGTCAGCCCTGTTAAAGTCACTTGCCAGAAAACTGGCTGTAAGCTGAGCAAAAAAGCAACTTCTACTCTCTCCCCAGACCCACCCAGCCCCTCTCAAAGAGCGAGGAGATAAATCACCGAGCCCAGGCCAGGCCTTCCTTAGGCTGGAGACAGGAGGTCAGATTCAGAGGCAGCTTTAGGCCCTCACGGAAAAGCACCCACAGAGGGGAGAATCTGGCCACCAGACTTTGCTCAGGAGTGTGGAAAGCAGTTTACTCCAGATGTGTTTAGAACGGGCCTGCCAGGCCTAGCTAGACTCTGCGATGGGAAAAAGCGAAGAGCGCTGTTGGATTTGCAGGAGGGGAGATATACTGAAACTACCCTTCTCTTATCTAGTGGGTAAATGTCCTTCTTCCAGCTCCCACTTCTTTCCAGCGACCAGTCCCCTTCAACGAGGAGAAAAGAATGATTGATTTTCGCTCAGGGCAAGGAAAATGGCAGGCAGCTCTGGGCCTCCAAGGGCTGCTCTCTCATTTCCAAGTCCTGAGGCTAGAGTTGTGTGCAGCTGGAGACCCACCATACATTGCTAACCTGGTTGGGCTCCTGGTTGGTCTGGTCGTGTTGCACTTGTTGCATCAAGTCAAAATGCTCTTCTGCTCCATTTTTATTTTTGCCTGATTTTAAAAAAAAAAGTCCAAAGGTTCTTTTGAGCCTCTTGTGGAATCTTCAGTCTGTTATCATCCTGTAAAATAGAGATTAACCCAGAAGATGGTTTGTTTCAGATTGGTATATTGTGTGTGGATTCAATCACAGTGGCTTGTAGGTGGGTGGAAAGCACGACCTCAGTCAGATATGAATTCTTCCTGAGATTTATACTAAACTTTGTGCGGCAAATCATTATAGGAAACCCAAGGATTTACTGTGTTGTGCAGCCTGACTTTTCTTTGGTTGCATCAAGAGGGACTTTGGGACAAATCCAGGCCCCACTTAGTAGAAGACCTAGGAGGCTTCCCAAGGAGGGGGATTCCCTCCACGCTCATTCATCCCAGGGAACAGTTGATGACCCCATTCCCACGGCCTGCCTCGTGTTGGCAGAGATTGCAGACACTCGTGCCCAGAACGTGGAAAGGGCACCAGGTGGGGCAGGTGTGTAGAAGTCTGCAAAGGGCCTCCTGCTGGGCTAGGTGTATCTCCAGGCCTTGGCGGCACCCAAACCAGTGGCTTAGGGGCAACAACCGCGCGCAGGGTTGTTAATCCCCGCGGCTTCTTGCTCGATGACTCCTCTTCTCTGCTTTGGCTCTTTTTTGCAGGCAAGGAGCCCGCGGAGGCGTCGGCGTCGGAGCGTCCCAAGGCGCGCAGCCGGAGGAAGCCGCGGGTGCTCTTCTCCCAGGCGCAGGTCTTCGAGCTGGAGAGGCGCTTCCAGCAGCAGCGCTACCTTTCTGCCCCCGAGCGGGAGCTCTTGGCCGGCAGCCTCAAGCTCACCTCCACCCAGGTCAAGATCTGGTTCCAGAACCGGCGCTACAAGTGCAAGCGGCAGCGGCAGGACAAGGCCCTGGAACTCGGCGGGCCGGCGTCGGGGGCGGCCCCGCAGCCACCGCCGGCCCCGCCGGCCCCACCGCCGCCGCCGCCCCGCAGAGTGGCCGTGCCGGTACTGGTGAGGGACGGCAAGCCCTGCCTGGGCGGCTCGCAGGCCTACAGCGCGCCCTACAACGCCCCGGCTGCCCCCTACACCTACAACGGCTTCCCTAACTACGCCTACAGCGCTTCCAGCGGCGCAGCCTACGGCGCCGGCTACAGCTGCAGCTACCCGGCGGGGAACAGCGTGGGGCCCTCGGTGCAGCCGTCGCCGGGGCCCTACGTCAACGTGGCCGGCTTCCCCGGCGGAGCTCAGCCCCTGCACCAGGGGGCCGCCGGCTCTTCCTGCACGCAGGGCATCCGGGCCTGGTAGGAACACCGCGGGGCCAGGAGGGCCGCCGATCCTCCGCAGCCGCTCGGGCGGCCGGGCTGGGACCCTTTGGGGAGAAAGTGAGCGGCGCCCGGCGAAAGTGGAAAGGGACCTTTGTCCGTGGCGGGTCTCTAGGCACTTGGATCGCCGCTAACCTGGATCGCCGCGATGGACAAGAACGGACCCTCTTATTTCAGGGGTAGTCAAACCTTGGCTCTTTTATGACTCGTGGACTTCAACTCCCAGAATTCCTGAGCCAGCTTAGCTGGCTCAGGAATTCTGGGAGTTGAAGTCCACGAGTCATAAAAGAGCCAAGGTTTGACTACCCCTGCTCTATTTGGACTCCCCTAGGGCAGAGGTAGGCAACCTTGGCTCTTTTATGACTCGTGGACTTCAACTCCCAGAATTCCCGAGCCACCCGACGTGGAGACATACGTGAAGGGCTGCCACGTCTGTGCCACCTCAAAGCCCCGGGTGGGAAAGCCGATGGGCCTACTCTACTACAACGGGTAGCCGACCCAACACAGCCGTGGGAGGTACTCGCCATGGACTTCGTTGTTGACCTGCCGGACAGCCGTGGTCACGCCGTGATCTGGACAGTCATCGACCTGTTTTCAAAGCAGGCACACTTCATTCCGTGCAAGGGTCTGCCCTCAGCACAACGGCTCGCGCGGCTTTTCATCCAACACGTTTATCGTCTGCACGGAGTGCCCCGGCTATGCTGGCTCAGGAATTCTGGGAGTTGAAGTCCACGAGTCATAAAAGAGCCAAGGTTGCCTATCCCTGCCCTAGGGAGAGCCCCCACCGGCCTCCGCGGAGGCCCCGAAGCTTCCCGACGGGGCAGGGGCCAGGGGGCAACCGGGGAGTCTGGACTGCAGCGGGGAAACCGAGGACAGGCGCTGCCAGAAGCTGCTTCGCTTATCCAAAGCAAAGGGCGCCTCCCTCGGCTCCCCTCCTGCTAGCCGTGTATTAAATGTATCGATGTAGCCACACTGCGAGGAGTGTTAAAGGATGCCGTAATAAACCAGGTGCAATATCCAGATCTGGCCTTGCTATGGAGAGGCAGGGAAGGTCTCTCGGCGCGGAAGGGTGGGGTGGCCCGCTTCCCCCCCAGGCGGAGCGGATAAGTCGGTGCCAGCCCTGTCCCTTGCGCAGGCTTAGCCGTCCCCCCTCCCGGGGACTACTCTGTAATTCGGAAGCCCTTATGCCACGGCCAGGGCACCTCGCTGCCCGGACTGGGGAATGACATGAGGAAGCGGGTATAGGCAAATGCTTCGGCAAGGCGGTCCCCTCCAGATGTATTTGACCCCCCCCCCAATGCTGTGAGTCTCTCTTGGTGGGAACTGTAGTCCCCCAACACTTTAAGGGTGCGCCCTGTCGGGGAAGGCAACCGGTGTCTCCCCACCATCCCATCCTTTCCGCTTTGCTAGGGGAGATGTCCTGCTTCGAGCCTAATAAGTGAGAGGCAGGATTAGTCCACGAGGCTGGCCCTTCCTGGGGGGGTGAATTCACCTGCATGAATTCACCTGCATGACACCCCCCTCCATTCCCCCTTTCCGCGCTAGCTAATCTTAAACCAGAGTAATCTCCCATTACACCGAACAGAGGTTGAGAAAGGCGACCGAAGGGGAGGAACCCGCATTACAGCGTCGCCCTAGAAGCCCACTGGCTTTGGCGAGCGGTGGCCGAGTCCTAATCCCCGAAGCCGCTGAGCCAAAGCCCCGCAGCAACTACTTCGCTTAACCAAACGAGAGGGTGTGCTTTGTGGCAGCTGCTGGTGCGGATGCAGGCTCTCCGGAGCCAAAGGTTTCTCCTTCCAGCCCCTTCGGCAGCCGTCCACTGTAATTCCCTTGTCCCGGGCAAGAAGAGGGTGCCAAGCTGCGCAGAGAGGTCCATTGTGGCTACAGGGCCGGGAAAGGAACAGCCGGGAAGGGGCTGAGAAGTGACATTTGTAGAATTGCTATTTGGGACAAAGGGATGAGATTGACGGCCTGCGCTGTCCCCACGCTGGGCTCGGACGGGCAAACGATGGGCAGTTTTGTCCTGTCCCCCCTTTTAAGCCTGCAGGCCGAGAGCGAGATAGGGTGGAGGGACCCAGTTCAAGTTGCCTTGGTTAGGATTTGAAACCGAAAAGGTGCTGAAGGGCAAAGAGAAGAGATGGGGAGGCTTTGGGAACAAACACATCTTACCTACCTATTCTGCCTCTCTCTCCAATCCTCTGACTGAGCTCATGCATTTCCAGAAGGATAGAAAAAGGTTTGTGCACGCACTACAACAATAGAGACCCTCTAAGGTTGAGCCTCAGCTCTACAAACAAGAAGTAAGAACTCTCATCATTCCTGCATGGCCTTAAGGTCTCCATGTAGCATTGCTCCAGTCCTGCCATTGGGAGATACAAATCAAATGAGCACAGGCAAGAACAGACCAGCCGGTTCAGAAGTAAGGCGTCTGCAGCCATTAACTTGGATCTGATGACCGAGTTTTCTTTCAGCTCTACCAAAATGTCTGGAATGCCTATCAGTAACTCAATACTGTGAGCCACTTTGGTGTAGTGGTTAAGGCATCAGGCTAGAAACCTGGAGACTTTGCTCCTGGTTAGACATGAAGCCAGCTGGTTGATCTTACGCCAGCCACTTTCGCTAGGCTCTAGGGAGGAGACAATGGCAAGCCACTTCTGAAAACCTTAGCAAGAAAACTGCAGGGATTTGTCCAGGCAGTCTCCAAGAAGCAGACAAGGTGGAACAGAAAAAAAAATGAATATAGGCCAGTGGTGGCGAACCTATGGCACGGGTGCCAGAGGCGGCACTCAGAGCCCTCTCTATGGGCACGCGCACCGTCGCCCCAGTCCTAGGCCTTCAGCTGGGTTTTATAAAACCTTTTCACTTTAGGCCTCCACTGCTCTGTGCAAAAAAAAAAAAAAAAGTTCAATCAGTCAATTTTAACTTCGTGCTGGAAAAAAAAAGATCTTGCAAAGTTGGAATTTATTGATTGAACTTTCCCACCCAGTCTGCTGTTACCACTGCAGCCATGCCCACCCAAGTGGCCACGCCCAGCCAATGGGCCACACCCACCCGGCACTCAATGATGCATAAGTGGGTTTTGGGTTGCAGTTTGGGCACTCAGTCTCTAAAAGGTTCGCCATCACTGATATAGGCACTGTTCCCCCTTTTAAATTGGGAGCTAAATTGCATTTGAATGAATTATGGAGATTGCATGATATATTGTATCATGTCCACTGCAGGTGATAATCTTTTTCGGTAATAGTGGTGGGCTAACCAATTTCTTAAGTATACCTGTTCTTACATTTTGCTCCCACTCTTCATATAAAAACCTGCTGCAGCACAATAAACACAAGCAACTGCAATGATCAAGCAATGCAATTTAAAAGATATAGGGATAGTTGTCTATCACTTGACCTGCCATCTTGTGGGCTTGATCTGCATCTGCAATGGAATGAGACTGTACAACATACCACTACAGCATAGTAATTTGGGGGGCATATTACAATTGAATTACTCTTCTATAATACCCCCTTTCCCAAGAAAATAGAAAAGTTTTCAGGATGGGACCATGCAGCAGTTTCCACGTTGTCTTTCCGTTTGCATGGGGTAATTTCTTTTAACTACTCAAGCTGGTAATTTCCAAAAGTGTTTCATTGCAGCTCTGAATCAGTACCCATAATTCCAGTAGTCAGAGTTGAAGACACAGCTGGAGAAGTGCAGACGCTAAGAAAAAAAGGTGTAATGCTTCAAACCTAGATTAACATTTGAGTGGAGATGTTATACAATCCCCACATAGGGTCATGAAATCTGGAAATAGCTGTTCTAGGTCCCTTAATTCTGAAAGATTGCATAGTTGCAACTTCTCTGGATGGATGGATGGATGGATGGATGGATGGATAGATAGATAGATAGAAAGAAGATAAATAGATAAATAAATAAATAAATAAATAAATAAAATTTTCTCTGAAAAAATAAAGCCCAAGCAGAAGAAAGATAAATAAATAAATAAATAAATAAAATTTTCTCTGAAAAAATAAAGCCCAAGCAGAAGAAAGAAGAAAGCACCGGTCTACACGAACAAAGTGACCATGGAAGAATTAAATAATTAATATTTAATAATCCCATGTGGTTGCCACTACTGGGAAAAGTGCATTACAAATTAAGTTCAACTCCACTACCAAATGGATCTGGAAGGCTCCACAAATTATAAACATTTATATTAAAATGTTAAGGCAGCCCAGTTCCCTTGAGATGCATTGAATCTGTGATCCCTTTGGAGAAGATGGCCTGAAGGGACCCTCTTGGGATGCCAGTTAACTGTAGAAGTTACAAATCCTGGAGATCCTTGAATATTCAGGGAAAAGAGGAAGTTTCTTCACTGATGAGTAGCTCTCATTCTGTGGCTAGATGGCACACAGGCAACCAACTGTGGAACACCTCTAGGGCACCAGATTTCAATGAACTAGTTTGTGTAGAAACATCATTGATTCTCTCGGTCCTCATTGATCTGTTATTGATTTATTGATCTGTAATAATTATAATCATAGTATCCTGTCACTCAAAGCAAATCATAGCATCCTGCCATTCAGGTTCTGAAAGAATTGCTTTTCAGAGCCCACCAGCTCTTTTTGCAGGAATGTTTTCAAGCTATACCCAACTTCTGCTGGAGGATATTATAAAGCAAATAGGGTAGAATCCTAGACATTGGAAGACCACGAGCTCTAATCTTGTTTTAGGCACAGTCAGCTGGCTGACATGGGCCAGTCACTTTCTCTCAGCCCTAGGAAGAAGGCAATGTCAAACCGATTCTGAAGTCTTGCCAAGAATAATGCAATCACAAGAGTCAAAACTGACTCAAAAGATGCACGTGCACACAATCGGTATCAGGAGCAGTGGTTTCCACAGTGGTCTCAGTGGAGATTCAAGATCAAGTTCAGATCAAAATTCAGTTCAAAACCATAAAGCCATGAAACTCCCAGCCTCTGCTTCCTTTTGGTCACCTCTTGGAGCTGAGCAAGACAGGAGAAGGAGTAACTCTACTGCTGGCAGTTTTGCCTTCCCATTTCCACTCTCTCTTTACATCTGGCTTGACATTTTACAATTGATCTTTAAAATATCTGGAAAAGGAGGGGCTGGAAGAGAAGGAAGATCGTTGACACAGCAAATCAATTTTGAAAAAGATAGGGCCAAGGAGTAGCAAAGTTGTAGTTAAAATTCAAAGGTCGAGGAAACACTAATCCACTGGACCATAATAGAAGACACACCCTCCAGGAAAGGAGAAAAATGCCATAGTTAGATTGCTTTTTTCATGAGCAGGAGGAACAGCAACAGAGGCTTTAACCACAAAGGAGAAATCCTTGTAATAGTCCGCTGAGAACTCTGATTGGCAATCAGCAAGTACACGGAGTAGCCTGAATGCACGCAGTGCAACATTTTGTAGAAGATGCCATCTGTGGAACCAGGGAATGATCACCTCCTCCCACCGGCCATGAACAATATGGTAAGAGTAGCGAGAATTCGTGATCTTGTGTCCCACGTCCTAAGGAAAGCCTAGAATAACTTTACTACAAGGCTGCAATGCTAAGGCCAGCTGCCTTTCAATCCAGCTCCGTGGTTTCCTTAGCAACTCATAGATAGATGCTAAATGACAGAGCAGCAGCAGCAGCTCCAGATTTTTCTTGGCGTGCAAATCCATGGCACTGCTCCTTGAAAGGGCAGCTCTTTCCTGATTCCATCAACCCAGACAGTGGCGGTACAATATATTGTATTCTCCAGGCAGAGCACAAAGAAAAAGGATGGGAGCGCTACCTTTGGCAACATCCCCACCTATTGGCTGGTATAATAACTGCATCTTAAACGGCTTCACTGCTAGAGTCGATTTACTTACAGTAGTATAGAAGTTAATGGAAACATAGTATCCAGCAGATAATATTTTGTATTTTATGCTTTTTAAAGAAGCCTAGCACTATAATTATTACAGAAGGAATAATTCTCCTGCTGCTAAATATATCAAATAATTCCAATAGAAGACGATACATGTAGCTCAGGGTTGAACTGTGGAACCGTTGGTGCTCTCAGAGCTTGGTCGGTTTGCTTCCTAATGTTTCATTAACCAAGTAGGTGACATCATCAGCATCATGATGATGTTACCTAGCTGAATAATCAAAAGAACGTCTCCTCTCAGAGAGCCCTAAGGACTCCACATATCAATGGTGGAGAAGGATAATATTCTTCTCAAGAGTAAATAGAATGAACAATGGTGACAATTGATACCCAGCTGGCTTTTATCTGACTACATCTTCAGATATACAGTATATAAAGAGATATTACAATCACCAACCTCAGTCCTGATGACCTATCAACATGCATCTGGGAAGGCCTTCATGTTCCCTTATCAGCTAGCTGTTGATACCAAAACTGCCTGCTGCTCTTTCCACAACCCTTCATTCTCAGAATATTCATACACTTTAGTTTCAAGATCCAGCCTAATTCCATTGCTGCGTGGAATGCAGAATTCCAATACCTGAAATCAGAAAGTGGAAAAGAGTGGGGGGGAAACGATCTTCGTTTTTTGGGGAAAAGCTAAAAAATATGCTGCTGGATTGGGAAGCATCCATCTCATGTTTGGGCAGAGACCAGGCAGACAGGATGCCTAAGAACTTATAGCTGGGGAAATATCTAAAGATTTATTCTCATTCTTTCAAAACCAAAACAGAAAGTTGCTAAACCTATGAACAACCAAACAAAAATTTCTTGAGTGCATTTGGCAGCTGCACTCACGGGACCATCGTTTAATTTTAAAGATTCATATCCTTGTTTAGAGAGATCTCTGATAAGGAAGGAATCATTTTATCCAAGCTTTATGAGAGGGAACTCCTATCCCCATCCCTATTAATCTGTTAGATGATATTAGCAGGGAATGTGGGTAAATTGTAGATGAGATCAATCATTTCCATTTTTCCTCCTGCCCTCCTAATCTTTCCTAATCTGATCTGGTGTCATCCAGATGTGCTGTGAATGCAATTCCCAGATATCCCAAATGACTATAGAATCATCTTAAGATATGCAGGGACACATGAAACACCATAAAATTAATTCCTATGAGGCTGATACCAAAGCAAAGCAGAAGCTGAGAACAAATGCAAAATGCGTTTTTCTAACAATAGACATTGTTACAGTAAACACGTAGATATCACTGCATGTATTCCCAAGTGGTGACATTTCCTAGGACAAAACTCTCTAGCAAAGGCTAAAAGATAAGTCAGTAGAAGATAAATTAAGATGCAGCAAGGCAGTTATGCATGAACAAAAGGACCCTTCGAAGAGAAAATATTTTACTTCCTACTTTGGTTCAACTTATGGCTCAGAAATGCCCCCCCCCCTACACACATCTATTGATGCATTGCTAGGAATGTAAAGTTGGGATATACTCATCTGAAGCAGACAGAGAGCTATACTATACAAAGATTTATGTTGCATTTTGACAGAACTATTAACATCATACTAAAAAACACGGGCTTAACTGCATTGCTATATTTATTGCCTCTATACAGTCCCCCCCCCTTTGTGAAATGTCAGTTTCGAAGTCCTGAGATGAAGAAGGAAAGCTAATCACAACTCATTCCTAATAAAGACAAATGCATTATCACCATCAAAAGTTCTGTAAAGTTGAAGTTAAGATCGTTAATTTGATAGGCCACTCCATGTTAAATGTTAATAATTACAGAATTACTGTCCCTTCTATTAAATTTGTATTTCTTTGGTGGAGACAGAAAAAGGCCTTGTTACAAATACAAGCTAATTCAGAGCTGCATATTTTATATTGTTAATGGAGAAATATGTTCTACAAGACCACCTGTCCCTGTTGTTCAATTGCAGTTTGGTACACATTTGTGTATATGCATGTGAACAAATTATACAATGCATACATGTATTATATAACTTTATCACAGTGTAATTTTAATATAACACTAACAAGTCAGTTGAAGGATACCACAGTTTAAAGCAGACAGTGTCTCTTTTCACTATTCTCATACATATCGAATGGCAATAGTGGAATGGCAATAGTGCTGAATAGACTGTGCTAGGTGTTGAAAAGTCACAAATGCTTTATGAGTAGCATCCAACAGAGAACATTGGATCTCAATGTACATCATACAACATCCAGCATTATGAAAGTGAATCCTATTTTTCTTCCACCTCTTCAGATGAGAAGATAAAACAATTCCTGTCATACAAATACAATGCATTCATCTTATCTCTAAGAAGGAAAGGCTTGCTGTGACTAATGAACATTGGAATATAACACCATCAGGAAAGCTGCACGTTCCCCACCCTCTTCCATAAAGAAATGCTCAGAATCATCTGGTAAGAAAGAGACAAGGCCTAGGACAATAAAGCAGACTTTATTGGAAGTGCCAAGGGCCACAACAATCAAAGCCTTCCCAAAGAGCATGAGGTCTGAGTGAGTGCTAATAGACAACAGCTTAGCTAACACTTCTTCTGCCTCTACTAACTCCTACCTGCAATCATTTCTGAGAATGCAGGCTATCACCCCAATTTCCAATACGCTTACAGTATTTCCACCCTGGTCTTTATTTGTACCCAATACCTGGGGCATGTTTGTTAGATGATAAGCTAAAAGCAGGTGAAGTTGCTGTTTGCTGTATATTTTCCATTGAGAGAACAACGGGCTGTGCAAAATGCAGCAGCAGGCAAGAGGCGGCATCAGTATTCCAAAGTCTTGCTTGTCATCCGAGTTTGGCACCAGCCAATCCGATAACGCACTTCACTTCCCGGACAACCGTTCCTCCCTTCGCTTTGTTAAGAAGTATTTGAAGAACTCATACACAGACCATGCAATAGCTGTGGAGGGCATCTGGTAAATGACACGTGCCTGAACCCCACGGAAATAGGCAGTTAGCCCGCCCACGCGGTACACCGTCCTGAATGCGTGAGCCATACCTGTGATGTGCCCACTGATGTTGGTATTCAGTGCCAAGGCTTCCTGTGTATTCAGCAATGTTTTGCAAACGTCCAAAGGTGTGGTGGCAGCAGCAGCAATGGCACCTGCACAGGCACCTGCCACCATGTGGGAACTAGGGTTGTACTGTCTGTGGGGGTTGAGGTGCTCCTGTAAGGATTCATATGCCATGAAATGGATAGCCTGAAAGGGGATGTTCATGGTCAGCTGAGTGGTATAGCTTCGGTAGAAAGCTCCTGCCCCTTCATTGCACCACACAGCACGCACACAGTCTGTTACTCGCTGGTATGGAGAATTGTACATCTGCATTCTTTGTTTTACCACTGGAAATGGATGATAACCGCAATTCGGCCATAATGAAAGAGGGGAAAGAAAGAAAGAAAAACTCTAATGAATAAAGAGGTATAAACAGTATGCATTCAGTACACACACACACACACAAACACACATGCACGGACTCTTATGCTTCAGTATTCAATATAGTCCTCACATAAGCCTCAGTACTGGAATATACTATCAATCCAACTGCATAAATTAGCAGACCCAGATGACCACTTTCTAGATTGTGAAAAATATTTAGGACCACTGGAATGAGTTTTGATTTTCCTACAAAAAAAAATGGAACATTGAAGCCACGTTACAATGTAATTTTCATTCACTTGTTCATGTTTATAATAGGGCAAGACCATATGGTTGAGGCAAGCTTTTTCTGCAGTGGCCCCTGCTCCATGGACATCTTATGGCCCCAACTCTGCTAGCCTTTTATAAGGTCCTTGAAATCTAGCTATGCTCCCAAGCCTGGAGTGCTGAATGTGTTAAGGGGTCTGTTTTCTGGCTACATTGTTAACTGGCCAATACCTTGCTCTCGTATATCTTGAATTGGATTTTTAATTTTGTTTGGCTGGTTTTACTATTTTTATTGTTTAAAAAGGTTTTTAAAATTTTTAATCATATTTTCTGAATTGTAAACTGCACAGTCATTGACGATGATGGGCAGACACAGAAATTGAACAAACAAACAAACAATCATGACTCTTCTTTACTTCAGTCAGTGCAATCCATCATTCAAATAAAATTTGTAGTATTTGTAATGATTTGTAATAATTGCTCCGTCTCCCTTTCTTCTCACAAACACTGGAACATTTCTTGGTGATAATAAAAGAATAATTGTCTTCATGAAAGATGGAGCATCCAAGAATAACAGTATTACCTTCTGCTGGATTCATGGCTGCATCGTGAAGCAATGTTGCCACACAGCCTGCTGCACCTGCAAGACAAGAACTGTTAAATATGAAGAAAAGTTGAGATGAGACCCGTGAGAGTCTTAATGAGATCCCAGATTAGGCCATCAAAATATTACATATGTGAAAACAGGGACATACAGTAAGCCATTCCTTCCAAGGCATAAGTAGCTTATGCAGAAGTAAGCCTTAATTTTCAATGAGAACAGCAAAAATAATCAAGATTATGATACAATGTTTCTCCAAATTATTTCCATTTACACACTAGAAAAAAGGAGAAAACAGAATATCTTGCAAACATCTTAGTTAAGATCTTTGTAACATACGAAGCAGACAAAAGCTAAGGATATTCTACTATTAGTAAGCTGTGCTGCATTTATTCTACTATTAGTAAGCTGTGCAGCATTTCAGTTTTGATCTTCCACAAGTGTTTCAGAAAGAGCAAGAGCACAAACATAGCACCTTTCTGCTGTACTTTAAAGTTCCAAGTCCTTCCCCAGTATCCCAGGGGCAGGAAGGAATATAACTCAGGAAAAGGTACAGCTACTTTACATTGCTGCAGGCAAATGCTAATTTCACACTCCTCCCTCTGCAGCATCTTTTGTGTCCTGAATCTGAAGTGTTGTATAAACCTACTATTTACATCCTTCAAACAGTCCTCGACTTATGACCATTCATTGAGTGACCGTTCAAAGTTGCAACAGTGCTGAAAAGGTCTGTCCTTGCTCTCACAACCATCGCACCACCCTCATGTTCATAAAATTGCAATTCAGGCACTTGGCAACCAGCTTACTTTTACTTTTACAACCGATGTCCTACAGTCACATGATAGCTATTTGTAACCTTTTTTGCCAATTTGCAGCAAAAAATGCCTATTCAAAAGAATGAGTTCACACTTATGACCGTGGTATTTGCTTAATGACTGCAGATGTGCTAACAACCATGGTGATTCACCATCATAAAAATGATCATAAAATTGGGTCTGAATCAACTTATGACTGCAACAACTTAAGATGGAAATTCTGGTCCCAACTGTGATCATAAGTCGAGGACTATCTATATTGTCTTTCTCCTAAAGAGTCAACAAGATTCAGGGGATGATGAGTTATGTCTTAGATTTTAGGAGATAGAATACCACAACCAGATGATCAGAGATTAAATAGAAGCTTTAGAAATAAGCTATTCTGAGGAAGCAGATTTGACTAAAGGAATGCAAGAACACCTGTTGCAGCAAGCCTGGAATTCTCCCCATTCAATTAAGTTGCTAAAAAAAGAGGCATTGAGGCAAATACAAGCATATGTATCTGAAGCACACCAGTATGCATGTTTTAAAAAACAAATATATGCAGGCAGAATCACAGTCATTCTTGTACCATATCACTTTCTTACATAAGATACAAAAGCACATGCAAGAAACCTTATTTGCCCATTTTATTCCCTAAATCCCTACAGGCCACATATTGCTCAATGAGACATACTGCTAACATAGTTTGCTGCAAGCAGATCACAGCATTACGAAAGAATGTCCTCAAACATGAGGGTTCAGAGAGTACTAATGCCAGAACAATAAGAATAAATCTGGCATTCTCTCACTCTGAGCCCCAACTGGTACAACTAGAACCCCAGGATGGGGTTAGGAGGCAGGAAGGGATAATACCGTTGGCCACGTGACTATTGCCCCCAGCATGGATAAGGTTGGTAAGTGTCTTTTTCAATTTTTCGTAGCAGGCGAAATACAAGGCATGGGCAGGACCAGCCCCTGTAGCTGTGATGTTCAATCCACGCATAGGTCGCCAGATCCCTTCAGTTCGCACAATCCGCCACAAAGCCTCCAGCACATTCCGGTAACGAGCAGCAGGTTCTGGTTGCAGGCTTTGCATCCTTGTCTGCCAGTGCGGGGATGGGGGGAGGGGGGAGCAGGTTAGATATGTTTAGAGATTTACTCAAATAAGTTCTCCCAGCCAAAACTCTTTCCACCCACTTCCCTTTTTACAAACCTTCAGCGTTTTGAGTCTCTGCTTTAGTTCTGCTGTATGCTTTCTCCCTACTTACATGTGATTTTTGCAGACAATATGATTCAGTGAAAGATGTCTGGAAGTATAATAAACTTCCAAAGAATCACAAAACACCCCCCACCACCACCACCACCACACACACTTTAACATCTCCTCTATACAATGGTTGAGTCCAATCTGTTTTGCCGGCAAAAGCAAGGGGGCTTGTTTGAGATGCAAGAAATAGACCCTACTTCTCGGTCGCTGGTGGCAGTGCTTAATTGTCATCTCAAGTTCGGGACTCAGAAGACTGCACGTTGCCACTTCCGCAAAGGACACAACTACTTGTTGCTCCCTCTTCTTCTTGGCCCAATTCACAATAACCACCCCGAGACGTAACAGCCTTTTGACCTTCTGTCAAACCTCCTTAACGCTTATTTGAACGATCGGGATGGAGCCGAGCGGTTCTCCCCCAACCGGGCGATGTCCAACATCACGGGGCCCTGCGTGATGCTGCTCCAGCCTGAGACCTCCCCTGTCCCTGCTCCCAGCCCGTCCCGCCGCCCCTCTTGAGGCACGAGCGCGGCCCGCCGCCTGTCCTCACCTTGACACAGTCCACCGGGTACATAAGGCTGTGCTCCAGCACCCCAGCCACAGCCCCTGCGAGCATGTGGGTGGAAGCGGCGGAGCCGCGGGGCAGGGCCTCGTAGTCCGGCTCCGGGCCGGTTTCCGTGTCCGTTCCTGTCCCCCCCTTCCCGCCGCCCCCCGAGGGCCACGGCCACACCCAACCCGACCCTCCCCCGCCATCCCCGCCCAGCAGCAAGAGGAGCAGGCGGCCCGGCGCCGCCGCGCCCCGCTGACCGGGCCCGGCCGCGCCGCCTGCCCCCAGCTCCATGGCGCCTCCGTCGAGTCGGTTACGGGATACCCCGCTCGGTCCTGCGGCTCCCGCTCAGTCCATCCCGCCTACTGGCACTGCGGATTGGTGGCGGCCCGCATTCGCGCCGCCTTAGGCCAACGCGAATTGGTCGATTGGCAAAGGCCGGCCTTGAGCCCCGCCTATCAGAAAAAGAGATTTGGCCATGCCTCTTTGACCTTTTGTTCTCGCCTCACGCCATTGGACATCTTCCCGTGGAACGCGCTGTACGTCGAAAAAAGGAAATGGCCATTGGCTACACCGCCTGTCAGGCTGGGAGACAGCCTGGGAAGAAGGGATCGCAGCTTTCTATGGCGCGTGTGGTTTGTTTGGAGAAGCTGGTTGGTTTGATTTTAAAGGTGACGTTGCCGTGGGTAGCGCCTGTGTTTCGGTGGCTCGCGAGGGAGGGAAGGCCGTAGAGCAGGGGTAGGCAACCTTGGCTCTTTTATGACTCGTGGACTTCAACTCCCAGAATTCCTGAGCCAGCTAAGCTGGCTCAGGAATTCTGGGAATTGAAGTCCACGAGTCATAAAAGAGCCAAGGTTGCCTACCCCTGCCGTAGAGTGAGGGGCTCGTTGGGAACTCCGTGGCGTTGCCAGCTTCTAAAATTTCGGCTTGCAGGGAAACCAATCAAGTCGAACTTTTGAAAGAGTCTCCTTTAGGCCCCCGAATTGGGCAATGTCCTCGTGACGTCAGTGCGCGAAACTGGAACACCCGCCCTCAACCCCTGCATTGAACCCAGAGCCGTGACGTTTCCGATACTGCAATTGCTTAACGGCGCTTCGGGATTGCGTGCCGGGAACCGAAAGGTCCCTCCGAATCGCGAGCTGATTGGATACAAGGTCAGGAGGCGGGGCCGTGACCGCCGAACTGCTCAGAAGTAGCCGTACTGGGTCCGCTACGTCACCTGCATCCGAGTCCCCATTGGCTGCCTCTTCCGAGCTCGCTCGCCCTGAGGACGTGGCTGGAAAGCGAGCGGTGCGACAGGTGCTGGACGGAGGAAAGGGCGGCAGCGGTGAGTCCCTCCTGTGGGTGCCGGTGAAGAGGGACATGCCCTGGGAGGGCGGGAGACCCGGGGCCCTCCGGTGTGGAGGCGCGAAGCGGGCCGGTTACTTTGTGGCCCATCTGGGAAGCGGGGTGTCGGGGGCTCACCGGGCTCTCTCTTCCTGGCTTTCTCCTGTATAAGCGCCGGGACTCAGTGGCGGAAAGGGAAGAGAGATGCGACTCCCTTCTGCAGATCGTAGAGGACGCTAACCGAATCTGGACAGTGGGGTGACCATATGGCCAGGTGAGTGACGGGAATGCGAAGCCTCGCCAATAGAGCCTCTTACCGGTGCATTTTCTTCCTTATGGTTGGCCCTTCCTTCTTTCCCGGTTCGAGGTCTGCATCCTCCCCAGACTGCCTGAGGATTGGGATTGAGCCTGTTTAAGAAAAACGGGGGCCTCCCGGCAGCTGCTAGGTTAAGAGTGGGAAATAATCTTATGCCTGACGTTTCAGGCAAAATCTGCTTCTTTTCCCATCCCCTCGGTCTTGTAAACGGCCACAGCACAGTCTGGCTAGCAGCCAGGACAGTCCAAGGATCACACTTGGTGCCAGTTCGGCAGAGAGGGTGACTCTGATTCCCGTGGGTGTGGAAAGTGGGAGACAAGTTTCCTCCTTGTTAGTCAGTTTTGAAAGAGGAAGCTGGCACAGAGGTAGGTTGAGACTTCCCAGAGAAAAAGCCCAAGGAAGAGGATATAATGCGGTATTACAGTGGTTCTCAACCTTTTTAATGCCACGACCCCAACCGGTCGTAAGTCGAGGACTAAACTGGTCGTAAGTCGAGGACTAAACCAGTCGTAAGTCGAGGACTACCCAACCGGTCGTAAGTCGAGGACTTTTCCTGCCCGGGAGCGCCGCGCATGCGTGGTTCCGCCCCCTGCGCCAGCTGAGGCGTAGCTGGCAAGCGACAGAGACGGAGCAGGCCGACCACCAGCTGGCCCAGCCCAAGGGAGGTAAGGCACCCTCCGGAAAAGGGGAAAAAATGGCGGACAAAAAAAATGGCAGACAAAAAAAATGGCGGACAGCCTTGCTTGGCGACCCCGGTGAAATGGTCGATCGACCCCAAACGGGGTCCCGACCCACAGGTTGAGAACCACTGTGGTATTACATAGCTGCATCAAAACAAAATCATTGTCTGCTGGTGGAAATTCTGAAAACCGCTGTCCAGTCCACTGGAGAAAATTGGGCTGAGGGAGGCAGACGTAACTCATTCATTACAGTTGTATGCATAGATGTAAGTCTTAGTACAATCCAAGAGGAGGAATTGCAGTGCAATAATGCACAGGATTGCAGTATAGGTAAAAGCTTTGAAGTCTTGTTCGTTTATTCAAAGGATTTATATCACATATTTCAGCTGGCGGGTTTTAAGTTTTTCTAATAAGTACAAGCCTTCTCTCTCCTCTTGTTTCCAATGAAAGCAATGGTGAAAAAAGAATGTTCAGGTACTAATTCTACCTATTATAAGAATGTTAATCCTCCTTCTGCCATAGCCTGATGGAATGACTCTTGGATGGCAGTTGGGGAGGGCCCAATCCCTGCTAATGACCCTCCAAGGATATCAGAAAGTAGTCCTGTTTTTGTTTTTTTCTGCTTCCATCATGTGGGAGAACAGCTGCCATGAGATCTCTGGATAGTGGGTAAAGAAGCTTCTCAGGGCTGTTGATGGTATAAAAGAACCAGTGCTGCAGACTTTAATGTTCTTATTTACCTGTGAAGCTCATGTGTTCCCAGTTATATTTTATGTTGTCTCCCAACCTTATTGGAAGATTTCCTCCTATTCCAAACTTACAGCTTTGAGCCAAATTGAATTTTTTTTGTGGATATTAGAAACATCTACACTTGGCCTTTTAATACTATAGTCCAGTGTTTCTCAACCTTGGCAAGTTTAAGATATGTGGACTTCAACTTCAAGAACTCCAGATAGCTCACTGGGGAATTCTGGGAATTGAAGTCCATGCATCTTAAACTTGTCAAATTTGAGAAATACTGCTAAAATCATTGTACTTATAAGCAACAGTGGCTGAGACTAGACTCCAGTCTTTGAAAAACTGCCTTTTTTTTTTCCAGGATCAGTTTTTCCTGCCTGTGTCCAGCATCTTGGCACTTCACTGTGCCTTCAGTGAGCCTTTGTCTCCGTCAGCGTTTTGCCCTGGTACTCCTGTTATTTGCAGTCTCTCTTCTACTGATTGTGGCAATTAAAAATCTGTGGCATTGGAAAGCTGATTCCCGGGATTGGCAGTTTGAAAGGTAGGTAAGAGTAGCATTGAGTTGAAATGAGATCTGCTAAGATAAAACAAATAATGCTTTCCAGAGTGGGGATGAGACCTGGAAGCTGCAGATAGGGGCCTAATTCCAAAAGCTGTCTGCAAGCCAAATGTTTTGATGTGTAAAACATTTTATTTATCTATCTGATTTCTATAGATGGCCATCTCAGCAAACGACTCTGGACGGTTCACAATTTAGAATCATACAGTACAATTAAAATATCAAAAACATTTTGAAACAATGAAAACAGTAACCATTTAAACACTAAAAAATTAAAACAATTAAAAATGATAATAAGAATAGAATAGAATAGAATAGAATAGAATAGAGCTGAAAGGGACCTTGGAGGTCTTCTAGTCTAGCCCCCCGTTTAAGCAGGAGAACCTATACCATCTCAATATTGCTCCAATGGAGCACAAATCATCCAGTAAAGAGATATAAAATATATGTCCTAAAACAAATAGTTGTTATATAGAGCATAGAAGGTACTGGATGCTTGTAATCAAATTCTAAAGATATTATGTATGGACAATATAAATTCTAAATTGTAGATTTTACTTTAGATAATAGAGACTGATTTCCTGTAAAAATTAACAAGGGAAGAAAATGATCACAATTTGTGTCATAAAAAATCTTTCTGCCTGATTTTTTCTAATCTTAGCAGGCAGAAAGATTTTAACTTTATTTTAAATGCTGATTGAAGCCTAAAACAAGTTAGAAGAGATTGTAGTGCCTTTCCCCCCCAATCTACATTCTCTTATTGAAAGAAGTTAGCATTTGTTCTCCCTCAGGTGGTGGGAAAGGAGCTGTCTGAACTGAATTCAGCTTGTATTTTCCCACTAGTAAAAGTGATCATGTTCTAATAATGCTGCTTGGGGGGGATTATTGTATTAGTTCTTCAGTTAATAGAATATGGGAAAGAACATCAGTATTAAGAGCCCAAGATATGCGCTGGAAATTGTTTATGAAAGGAGAACAATAGGCTCTGGATGGAATGAAATAGGCTGAAACTGAACCTTAGCAAGGTGGCACTGGTGTTTGCTCATTATGATTCCATTAAATCCCAGTGTAGTCTCTTAGGGGTAGCACTACCTCTAAAGGAACAGCTTGCTAATAAATGCACATAATGAAATAGGCTTTGTTAGCTACATTGTTCAGCTAGCTAGATGGTCCTCTTACAGCTAAGGATTCTCCAATCCCTGAATAACTGTCTTTTGGGGATAACTAGAACCATAGAAAAATCATCTATGAAAAGTCAGCTTGTTTTCTGTGCTTCAAATTTACATATTTTCACACAATGCTAAATCACTTTTCTATTTGCAGGTATTTAGCACGATATCGCGCCTTGGAGGCAACAGACACGAAGAATCCAGCTCTGAGTTACGGGGTGGTTGTTGACTGTGGGAGCAGTGGGTCCCGGGTCTTTGTGTATTATTGGCCACCACACAATGGGAATCCTCATCACTTACTTGACATCCGACAAATGCGAGATCACAGCAGTGAACCTGTGGTCAAGAAGATCAAACCAGGTTTGGAATTTTCTAATCACTTTCTGTTACAATAGGCAGACATCCATGAAAAGCAGGTGGCAGATCCCATAGTTCTCCTTGAGGTGCTGGTGTAAACATCTGTACTTTGGCAAGAGATAATGTTGATGTGACCATGGCTAGTCATTTTTTATCTGTTTTTTAATTCTAACACCTGTACAAACAATTTTTCCCCCACAAATTCTATTCAGTGCAGTGTAAACATTCAGAGCAAGAATATTTTTAGCATAGTTTGTAAATTATATATGTTAATTACACATACTAGATAAAAGTTGGATAAAAACCTCTCCTGTTTTCAAAAAATTCATCTATTTTAATCAATTTAATCTAACTGCTAACTTGAATTTCAACTTTAGATAATGGAATAAAATTTTCCTATTATGATATGGTCTTTTTTCTTCTCAAACAATATATTGTTTCATTATTTTTTAAAAATAGAGATAAACTGGTGAGAGAGGGCATTTATTCAGTGTTAAATGATCCACATACAGCTTCCACGTCTTAAATATTTCTTGAGTAAATTGTACAGTAAATCAATATGCTTAAAACATTGCATTTTTAAAAAAATGCTATTCTTCTTAAAGCCTTATAAATTACATTAATATTTCATATTTTGGGGGGTTTAGTAAAAATGTGTTTAATTTGATATTTGGAGATCCCATCCTCATTAAAATATAAATATAACAAACCTCGTTTTACTTAAGGCTTTTTTTTTAACTAAAATTGGAAAAAAAATCAACTTCATATTTCTTAATCAAATGAAAAGGAACAGAATGGAATAAAAATAGCAGTTTTGGTAGAGCAGATATATTAATACCTGTATTAATATATGAATACCTATAAATGGATAAATGGATAACACCTGCAAATGTATACATTTTAAAAGGATTCGGAAATATAAAAACCTATTGTTTCCATTATTAAGGAGTGAAAAATATTTTTTTTAGATTTGTTCATACTTTAAGAGAGGGTGGTATTAAAAATACTGTTATCTAGACTTCTGTTATAAAGCCATCTGGTATGTCTAAGTTATTTGATCTAGGTAAAGGAGACTAAAGAGCCAACTCTTTTCTTGAATAGGGATTGCTACACTGGCAAAAACTCCAGAGAAGGCTAATGAATATATGAAGCCACTGCTCACTTTTGCTGCTGCCTATGTACCCAAAGTCAAGCACAAAGAGACACCGCTCTACATTATGTGTACAGCAGGCATGAGGCTGTTGCCTGACAAGTGAGTGATCAACAACTTTCTTAGACTTGATCCAGGCCTCCTTGGGGGCTTAAAAGAAGGAAGTACTGGGCTCTTAGACAGGGAGTGAAAAGGGAAGATTTCTCAAAGTGCAGAACTCTTGTATGGCAAACATTTAGTAAGGTTTTAGCTATTCCTTTTTTTTTTCAATTTTGCCCACTATAAAGCAACTCTGTTTTCTTCATTTAACTATAGTCAGTGGAACTCCATTTCCACCACTACCCTGACCCAATTTCTTTGTGGCTCTATATTAAACCTCAAAGGTTTGCAAATTTAGAATTGAAAATTCTTCCAATAGAAAAAGATTGGATTCTTGGCCCAAGGAGTAAAGAGATAGGTTTTCGAATTGATGGGGCAGCCTGCTATGCTCTCTGGAAAGGTAAACAGAGCAGGGTGGGTAAATGTCTTAGGAGGAGATATTTCTCATTTGCTTATGGATCTTTGCAGGCAGCAGGAGGCCATCCTGGAGGACTTGGTGAGGGACTTACCTTTGGATTATGACTTCCTCTTCTCGGAATCTCAGGCAGAAGTAATTTCAGGGAAACAAGAAGGTGCGGATCCGAGTTTAATTTCTTTATGTTTCAGAGTGATCCAATATAAAGGACAGACTGAAATGTATGTAGTGAAACCAGATTTGGCTGGAATTGGTAGGTGGATTTGGTCTTGGCGAATTGCTTTCTGGCCCAGTGTGGACTGTTTTGTGACTTGCATTGTTTTGGGGGGGGTCTATGGATAGTTGAGGTCAGCATCCTACTCTACCTGCTATTGATATACCTATAAGGGGGTTCCTTTTTTTTAAGCCTTACAGAAATGGTGTTGGAGCACCAAAGCTTCTCTGCTTCTTCAGTGGGTCTGATGTTGCATTTTGTGTTCTTTCTCTTGCAGGTGTCTATGCTTGGATAGGCATCAACTTCGTCCTAGGCAGATTTGATCATGCGGAAGGTGAGATTTATAGAAAGGTTTGTTGAAATATGGGGCCCAGTGAGTGGATGGCTGCTTTCTCATTGGCACATGAAGGAGGGAATTCTATGCAGTTTTTCATTCCAAGCATCAGCAAGGAATTGATGTCCTATCTCATTATTCCTTTTCGTCTCCTCAATAGAACAGGAACAGAAATAAAGTGAAAAAGGCATAAACTCCTTTCCCCTTTCTCTCCCCCTGTTTTTTTTTTTTTCTACAATTAGTAATTTATTCTCTCTCTCTTCTCTCCTCTATCTGGGCTACAGAGGAAGATGCAGTGATTTCTGTGACCCTGTCAGGTCAAGAAGAGCCCATGCTCCGAAAAAGAACAGTTGGTATCCTCGACATGGGAGGTGCTTCCCTTCAAATAGCCTATGAGGTGCCAAGCTCAACCTTCTTTTCTTCCCCACAGCAGGTACATCATGACTAGGGAGGGTTTGAAATGGGGGGAGGGGGGCTCAACTAGGTTTAGCTTTTTACCACTTTTCTTTCCTTTCTAGGAGGAAGCTGCCAAAAGCTTTCTTGCGGACTTCAACTTGGGATGTGATGTGCAACACACAAATCATGTGTATCGGGTCTATGTCAATACTTTTTTGGGCTTTGGAGGCAACTTTGCTCGGCAACGATATGAAGAACTGGTGCTGAATCAGACAATCGTTCGCAACAGGTACCCTGCCCTTGTGCTGCTGAGCCTGAAACCAGTTTCCTGGGCAATTCTTATTCATAATAAGGTTTCCCAGGGCTAACAGTTGCACTTTCTGTTCCCCACACCAAGGAAAGCCCAAATTAGGGTTGAGGAACTACATGGGGTCAATGAAGAGAAGGTGGAAACTGCACAGAATCCAATTATATACGAAGAAAAAGGGGCCTTTGGCATGGAGGATAATATTTAATCAGAGGGCCCATTCTGTCTTTCTCTGTAAAGTCAAAAATTTTAAACATTATTACTGCCCTATATTTTCTTGTTGAACAATTCCCCCTTTTCCTGCTACGCTATTCCAAATGAGTTGTTCATCAAAATTGGAATTGGAGATCGCAGGAATGATTGAAAAGAATTCAGAGTATTTGATATAGAAAAAGTAAATTGAGGAGTGCCCTTTTGGCATATGTTTCTCTAAGATTTCATGACTAAATCTTGCTACATTTTAAAAAGCACCCTGCAAATCCATCCAATCTTCTAGGCCAGGGAAGTTTGTAGAAAAGTCTTTAATACAAAAATCACAATATATGGTTTATGTATAGTAATGGCATATGCCAAAAATCAGTCCATATCGTTCTTTAAGGATCTGATCTTTGCTGTTTCTGTCTTAGCCAGTTAACAATAATTGACTGATTGAATGTGTTTCTGTACGACTGAACTTAAAATCGTGACTCCCAGTGGTTTATATCAAAATATAAAAACCAATGAAAATCCCAAACAATCCCATTGTGCTGAAAAGCAAGGCAGCTCTGAAGATAGTACTCCTATTGCTGCCACAGATGATTATGTCTCTGAAAGTCAGCCTATATGCTGTGATTGATTGTTATAGTTTCAAGTCTTAAGTTTCAGGTACCTGTTAATAAGATGTGTGTGTCTGTGTCTGTGTCTCTGTGTTTATTTGTTTTAGGGAAACTCTGGGAAGTAATGAACTAGGTATTTGAATGAGGGCAAGGGAAAAGTTGGCATTCTGACTTAGTTGATGCCATGAATTGGGAATGCTGTCTTAATTTTTACAGATGTATTTATTTATTCATTCATTCATTTATTGTAGGTTGCGCAGTGTACAGATAGGCATGAATCCTGAAGTGCCAGTCTTAGACCCATGCCTGCCAATGGGACTAGAGGATGTTGTGGATAAAGGTGGGCAGGCAATGCATGTCAAGGGTCAAGGTAATTGGAGGAGCTGTGCAGAACAACTGCGCCCCCTGTTGGCTGGAGACAACAGTAGTGGAAGTTCTTTGAGTAATTCCTATCAGGCATCTATTGATTTTACGAACAGTGAATTCTACGGGTTCTCAGAATTCTACTACTGCACTGATGACGTGCTACGTCTAGGAGGACCTTATCAAAGCAGTGCATTCACACGTGCTGCCCAAGTGAGTATGACTTTTGCCTTGATAATATTCTGTGTGTCTTTTATTTTTTTACACTAATCTCCCTTTGCTTTACTACCTTCCAGGATTATTGTAGCCTGAGCTGGTCAGTATTGCTACAGAGATTCCAAGACAAGCTTTACTCACCACATGCAGACCTCCACCGTGTTAAGTAAGGAGCCATTCTTGCCTCTTACAGGAGAACTGGGGGTAGAAGATGTATTGAATCCACAATCCTATTTTGCAGTGATGGGATAAGAGCTTTAGAAATCACTAAGATAAGTCCCAGTTCTGCATTTTGTAAATGAAACTGTATGTTCTGTTTGCAGGTACCAATGCTTCAAGTCAGCTTGGATGCACCAGGTTCTGCATGAAGGATTCCATTTCCCCAAAGATTACTCTAGCTTGCGAACAGTGCAGTTGTTATATGACCGAGAAGTGCAATGGACATTGGGAGCCATTCTTTATAAAACCCGCTTTTTACCTCTCAGGTATTATGTTATTTCCCTAATTTTTCTCTAGGAGTCAAGTCATCTTGGGAACTCGCAACGTCAGACTTTTGGAAGACGTTTCTCCCAAAAAAATTGGTCTTCCAGGATTGTGGCCTTCAGACATTGCATTTTGCAACAGTCTGTACATCGTCATGCTCAGTCTAATGTTGTAGAATTTTTTTAAGCTGAAAGTTAAGGCATTTTTTTTACAGAAAATATGAAATTAGAGCCCAAACCCTGTAGAATGTGTTGATTTTTTTTTAAAAAAGAGGAAAGATGCAATGCACTCTACACAAATCTGATTTATAAGAGTAAAATTACTAAATATTAGGGGATATTTCCCTTCCATTCATAAATTGTTTGTGGGATTTGAACTAACACAAGCCAAATCGTTAGGTATCTAGAACTTAAATTTTCTTCCTGCATTTGAAGGTTTATTTGCCTTCCATTTTTGGTAGCTGAAGTTCTGTCACTTGACTTTCAGAGCAAACCAGGATATATAAACTGATGTGAAGGTTAGGTAGAAGTGTAATTTTCTCCCACTGAATGAGTCCCTAAAGTGTTCAAGTCTCTGGGAAGGGCAGGTGATGCAATATATGGAAGTATCCAGAAAGGGAGCTTTAACACAAGAAAGATGAGTGGGAGCTCTATGTCACAGTCCCTGCACCTTTGACGAAATAAAAGGCACTATAAGTAAATAGTGTCAAAATTCCCATTAAACAATATCGCACAGTAGCAGGTACAGGGTAATGTATGATGAAAGAAACTATTAAGACTCAGTTTTAAATCCCTACTTAGTTATAAAACATATGAGAAGACTTTGGGCCAGTTGCTTCCTGACCTCTCTCAAGGCTATTGTAATGATAAAATTGGGGGGGGGGGCAAGGTTTACATATACCATTCTAAGCATTAGGGAGAATGTGATATACAATAAATGTGTGTAACAGTACCCAATTTCTGTTCTGTTCAGGGACATCCAACGGGAGAGCTTCCATCAGTCGCACAGCTCTTGGTTCCATCTTTCCTTTGTCTACTATCTGTTCTTTGGATGTATTCTTGTGGTGACGCTTGCAATTGGGCTCTACCTCTTCCGTCTGCGCCGTATCCACCAGCCGCCATTGCAGTCAGCACCCCTTGATCTGCTGTGGCTAGAAGTTGTACCACTGCCAGCCCAGGAAGAAGGCTCCTGACAAAAGAATGCTATCAGGACGATCTCAGTGACTGTCCAGTGTTTCCTTATTGGCACTGGTTTTTAACAGACCAAAAGCTGTGATTCCCCTTTTTCCCCCCAGTCCAGAATACTGTAGCACTCCTCATTAGCCTCAGAGTGGCTGCTCAATAATACTCTACCCCAAGGGCCTTGGCTGCCAGGGGACTTCAGATTGTGTCTGAAGTTCTTAGCTGGGGTAGGACAATCACGTTGCAGGTATTACAGGGCAAGGACCAAAGGTTCGCTTCCATCCCTATTGGAGTTGGAAACAGTATCAATGCAAATGACCAAAGAAAACTACTCAGGAAAAGGTGGGTGAGAGAACTTTCCATGGGAGATTTGCAGGACCAAGCAGCTTTTCTGAGGGATCTTCTGCAAAGGAAAGTGAAGAGCTCATACTGGTGCTTGGCCTCTGTTTCGAAAAGAGGCTTCTTGTACCAGTGGCTGAGAGAGGACAATGTTTGAAAATGGACGATCCATTGGACAAAAAGCCCACTCTTTCAAAACAAGAAGAAAAAGAAGCTATAATTGGCTGCTACTTTCTGCCTTCTTTTTCCACTTGTGGTTTTCGAGGAACTGAATTTTGCTCATATAGAGCATGGAGATTTTGTCAGATTTCCTATTACATACATGATGAAGGTTGGCTCATTGTTGATGCTCCTTCCTTGGGCACTTCATCTATTTCTAGTATTGCAGAAAACTATTTTGAAATACAAAACCATTCTGGATAACTGTCTAAATCAACGGTGGGCTACATTTCATAATGTATTTGTTTGAATACTTGAAATCCAGTTAACTGTAGCAATAAATTATATTGAGCTACCTAATCAGAGTTTCTTGAAACCATCTTTGATGTTTCTTTTTCATAGCCCAAGGGGCTACACAAGCCATTATTCCTCATGTGCCTTTCTACCTGGTTGAAGATCTAAAGGGAAAAAATACTTTTTAAAAAAATGTTGGAATGCTTGCGCAGAATAAACTCTTGCATTTCTACTTTTGGAAGGGAGAGTCATTTATTGGCTTCAATCTTATTTAATTTATACCCTGCCTTTATTATTCTTATAAATAACTCAAGGCAATGAAGACATATTACTCCTTTCTCCTATTTTCCCCACAATAACAACCCTTTAAAGTGATTTCAAGGGAGAGAGAGTGAGTCACCCAAAGTCACCCAGTCAGCTTTCATGTCTAAGGCAAGGCTAAATTCATAAGAGTCCTGGCTTCTACTCTAGTGCTTTAACCAGACTAAACTGGCTCTCAGTCATCTGGGTAGGTAGACTGAAATCATAATTGGCAACAAAATCTCCCAAAATTTGATTTTGGTAAAGCTGTTCTTTAAAATGATACAAGTGATATCAGCAGTTTCATTGTAGATAAACTCTCCCAAGCCTGACAATAGGACCCCATCAACAGTAGGTCACAAACAGTACTTTTATTTTCACAATACAAGTTTATACCATATTTATATTTACAACTGGTACTTCACATGGACAACTAGAAATGTCTTGCAAATACATTCTGACAGAAGAATCTTTGTATGCAAAGATCAAGATGTGGAGAAATCTACAAATTTACTATGTCATTTGAAATGAAGAAAAATGCTTTCTCTTATTCAGAAGGATGTTGTGAAGCTCTTATCAACAGTGATTCAATCTCGAGGGTATAACCACTTATTGTACTGTACTACTTACTTTACTGCAGTTACCAAGGGAGGGTCCTTAATAAAAACATTAAGGTGATAATATGGCAAAGTATCAGTTAAAATTGGAAGGCAAGGGATGGTCACTACAGTGGAAATGGGCTGTAAAAGATCCACCACACTTTCAACTGGAAAGGACATGAGTGAAGCCTGAAAGAGAAAGATTATCAACCGTGAACTTTCCCAAAAGAGAGAGAACCTGTCTTAGAACTATAAATTGCTTCCCTTCCCTGTCTTACAGAGACAAAAAGAATAATAGCCTGTTTTATGGATTCATAAAGTTTGGTCATACCAGTGCAGGCCTAGGACAAGTAGAGAGTCAAACTCAGGATCCCTTGCAAATAATAATGAAGTCAATCCTTTTTTCTTTCCAGTTGTTAGTTGGTTACAAGAGGCTAGTCACTTCTATGCTTTTATGAGTATGAATAGGTTGATACATACCTATTAAATTGGTCTGTAACAGCACAGGTCATTCCCACTGAAAGAGCACGTACCAGATGGTATCATTCTTCAGCTGAGGGCCAAAGAGAGGATTGGCTTGAGAAAGAATTGCTAAAAGCCAACTGCAAGAAAAAAAGATAAAATTGCTGTATGACAGTCACAATTAAGAGCAAAAAAAATTAAAAGCATGATCTGTATAATTGTTTATGATGAAAGATAAGAATTAGTAAATAATACAAGGGTGATATGAGAATCTGAATGTAAGTCAAATTATTAGGAAGTGTCAAGAGAGGAAATTAGGAAAAACAGACAAAGAAGTGAAAGAAATAGTGAAAGCAAAATAAGATATAAAATGAAAGTACAGTACAAATGTTTCGTATGAAAAAGTATTAGAAAGAATAATCTCTCAATAGAATTAATGGGAAGAGGACCTAAGAAAAGAAGATATGGAAGCTATTTGGAAGAAGGTGAAGAATTATATTACAAAGTACCATAGTGCTGAGTTATGCTTATGAGAAATATGGGAAAAGATGCTTGGTGGAATGATGTTGAGTACTTTTCATTCCTTTATCCATTTTATTATATATAATAAGATGGATAAAGGAATAAAAAGTACCCAATAAAACTGAGTAAGGAATAAGGCAAGGACATGCAATGCCCCATGGTTGTTTGAAATACTTAAGAGAAAAATGCCCGAGGAATGCATCTGAAAACAACAGAAGTGTTCTTGCTTTTAATGTTTTGGTTATTACTTCTTGTGCTTTCTGCATAACTGTACATGCCAGATTAGGATACTACAAAGGTATATGATTGGGATATGAGCATGTATATATTTGATGGAACAAAAGCCTTAAATGTTATGTTAAAACAATATGCTTACATGGTGGTTAGATTCCTACATTAGACTTCCATTGACCAATTTTTTAAACACACACAATATACTGAGGCATAAACTACTCAAGGAGTTTGGGGTTACAACACATTAAGTGCTAACAAACAACCTATAATACAAACTAACCAAGCTTGACATGTTTTCACATACAGTTGTTAGTCTTTTAACAAATCTACTTAACCACGTCATGCATTCACACTGTTCCAGTGGCACTGCAGAGTAACATCATCCTACCAGCATGATAAGAATTAGCCTCTTCTAGCTCAAATTGCCTTTTATTTTCCCAGTATTCAGGAAGGAGGAATTGGGATCATATTACTATAGTATATCATCCCCCGTTACAAAAGCATATGGTTTTTTTTTTAGAAACAGCCCCAGCTATCTTGTTCCCATTATGCATGATTTACTTACAAAAGATAGCAACAAACAGCAGTTGTCACCAGCATGGTAATAATCACTCTAAAGAAAAAAAGGGAGAAAGTTAAGAGAAATATATAAGAAAATGTCAGGATAACAGTCACAAGAATTATATCCTAGCCTTCTATACACATAAAGTAATTGTACTATAAATTATTATTTTTAATGTACCTCATGTAAATAACTTCCTGCCAACAGAATCCTACCAGATGATCTAACTAAGCCTTTTGGTAGTTACGTGATTATCTATTTACAGATATTTTTTTTTTTAAAAAAACTAGCAAAATAAAGGAGCATGCATTAACACTTGCCCCTGTTTCCCTTTGGTGAAATGAGACACCCTGTTCTATTACAGAGCACTGATTTGTGCTGGCACAAGTATCTGAAAACGAATGCATCACTTATGTCTCTTGCCCCACACCTCTGGCTGGGGATTCTGGGGTCTCAACACACCTGGAGGGTACTGGAGGGAGCAGGCTAGCCCAGTACTTCTCAACCTTGGCAGCTTGAGAATGTCTGGACTTGCTGGCTGGAGAATTTTGGAAACTGAAATGTACAAATCCTCAAAGGATGAGAAACTCTGAGCTAGATTAACAGCTTTAAAGTCTTTGAACTCATCCTCAGGCGCCAATAGCTTGGAACGACAGAGTGAATTGAGATTGTGTGAATGGGAAGGCGAGGAGGAGATAGACGGGGAAAGAAGCCTCACCCGCGGTTGGGCCCCTTCGGCACAAGCCACGGACCCGCAAATCCCACGAGCCCCCAGAAGATGGAGAAGAGGACCATCGGCAATGCGAAACTGTGCGCCGTCATAGCGAGGCCGTTTCGGATCGACGAGAGGAGCTGTCCACTTCTGCAGAAGCAAGGCTCCGCCCCCTCTCCCTGATTCCCGTATTCATTGGTCCCTTGGACAACCTCTCCGGCTTGCTTCCGGATCAATTCCGCAGGCGTCGCGGTGATTGGCTGGCCCCTGGTCTTTCATTGACCCTTCTTTTGGAACTTGGGATCCGCGCAAAGATGATACAATACTGCCCATCTGGCGTCTGCCAAATCGCCTCTAACGAGCCTCGAACACTTGCAGCATAGAATACCAGTGTTTCTCAACCTTGACAATTTTAAGGCATGTGGACTTCAACTCCCAGAATTCCACAGCCAGCAATGCTGGCTGTGGAATTCTGGGAGTTGAAGTCCACATGCCTTAAAATTGTCAAGGTTGAGAAACACTGGAATAGACCAAAGGTGCCCAATCTGTGGCTTTCTCTATGAGCCGAAATATTTTATTTTTCATATTTCTACACCGCCCATCTTCCTCCTCTTAATTGTTTCTACAGTATTTGAGCGAATGCTGACTGATAGTAAAATATCAGCAACATTAAGTTAAGGAACCTATTCTGAAAGGAATTAGTGTTATTTAGGGATTTCTGAAATAATAAGAGTCAACGTCCTATTCTGATAATTACAAAATCCATTCATAAAGTAAAATTAATTTCCTTTGATCTTAAAAAGAGGTTAATACACCCAAAATGTATATAGCTTAGTGAATATCTCAGAGAATGTTTAATAAGGATTGATTGCAGGTACCTTATTTTTGGAGATGCTATTAGAAGTTTTCAGAGAAAGTCGTTCTATAAATATTGGGCAACAAAAGCTAAAATTTCAGAGGATAATATTCCTTTGAACTATATACCTAGTACATGGAATTTGATAACTGGACAACATAAATGTGTCCTTACTATAGCTATAAGTGATATTGCAGCATTGGAAAAATAAATGCATAGCTCCATTTATTCAATGGATTGAAAACCTGATTGCACTTCCCCCTTACAAGTGGATTGTCTATAGATGTAGACTATATAGAAAAGTGTAATCAAATACAGAACTCATTTATACAGAATACAGGTTAAAAAAAGACAGTTGTATAAATGTATTAGAAATATATACATATTTGAATATTTTCATTGGACAAGTATGTATACAATTTTAACCGTGTATTGTTATGACATATATTGTGCATTCTTCTGTTGTATTTTTTTCACTTTTTTGTTAAAGCACTTTTCCCCCCTTCTCTGACAATAAAAAGTTTGAATGGCTTCAACATATGATTGATCAGAACAAGCATAAAACTGGCCATAGACAACAAAACATTTGACATCTTTGCATTAAACAGACCAGTTGCAGTAGAAACTAATGTGTTCCTGTCAAATTTAAGAATTACCTAATAATTACAGAGGTTTGAACTCGGGCTATGACTTTGAATTTGGTATTATCCAGGAAACACAGATTGGAAGAAAATATGTGAGGAGGTTTTTTTAGATAAGCTTGAGAGCCAGCTTGGTCTAGAAACCAGGGAACTGTGAGTTCTAATTCTGCCTTAGGCTTGAAAACTTGATGGATGACTTTGGATCAATCATTCTCTCTCAGCCCAACTCGGCTCACAGGGTTTTGGGGGAAAATAGGAGGAGGAAGGACTATTAGGTATGTTCACAGTCTTAAATTATTTATAAAAACAAAGTCAGGATATAAGTAAATATTTATTTTTCCAGTACCTGCTGTGGGCTTTGCATAGGACAGCAATTAAAAGGCAGTCAAATCAACTATAATCACATATCACATCAAGCAATTGTTTGTTGAATAGGGATATAGTGACCAAGTTCACATATTATATTAAGACATAAATCAGAAATTCATACTTCATTTTAAGACCAAGCAATCAAGGTATATGATAATTTATGAAAACTCAGCTGTTAGTGTTTACAGATGACCTGGCTAAGCTTCTGCCCACTGTAGGAATTAGAAATGTTTTCTGAATGTTTATTATTGCCAGCCCTGAGAGAGGGAAGTCAGATAAGAAACATGCACCCAGTATGCGTAAGAATTAAAGCAAACAATTGTGGGGAATGTTGTCTTCTTGGCAAAGCAAATTAATTGGATGGTGAATATATCACTTTGCTTTTGTTTTCTGACTGTGGACGGCACTGTCCTGCCTATATAATTCCAAGTTTCACTGTTTACTATTTTTACTATTTTTAAGGAATTTATGATTAATCTTGTGCCATTTCAAGTCATAAAATGTAATTACATGGTTTTCTCTTTTAACATATTAATAGGTTGCATGAAAAAAGTGGATGAAAAAAGCTACGTTTATGATGTTTACTTAGAACTCATAATATATTTTAATATTTAAAAATGAACAAGATTCCATTAAAAGAAACATGAAAGCACACACTTGTATAGAATTTAGAATATAAACTGCATTTCCCAATCCTTCACATAATATAAATACTTCCAAATTTTCAAAGACATTCGGTCCATAATCCTATTCCGCATCATGTCATCTTTTATATATAGAATTTAAGATAGACACCACTGAAATTGTTTGTGGTTATATCTTCAATAAACTATTGAAGGACATGAGGAATAGCCAGATATAGTGTCGGTAATTTTATAACATGAAAAAGGCCAGCAAAACAGATGATGGTTTGTATTCATAATATTTTGAAGCAGTGTTCTCCACATGAATGAAGCCAAGGTAGCTTTCTATACACTCCTCTTCTTCAATTCAGCTCCCAGGCAGAGGATCGCATGGTTCATATTGTAAAGGTATTAATTCTGAACCTTCAGTGCTTGAGCTAAGACTATTTAGGAATCCCTCTGAGTTCATGAATTAGCCACACAGCCATACTGAGCAACATCAAAGAACCTGATTGATGAGTAGCTGCTAAAGGAGTTGGGACATACAGAAGTAATGTGCTGATACCCAGGGTGACCTGCAGCGGAGCAAAAATATCAGTGCTAAATCAGATATAACCTTAATGTATATAGCATGCTTTACAAATGTTCAGAAGACCTTTGTATCTGTTGGTCTTACCTTTGTATACTATATAAACAGTACAATACAAAACAACTTTATAATGAGAGGATTTAGTGATGGATTGCATGTAATAGCTTAACTTTCTGCCAGGATTTTAATGTTTACAGTTTTTAATGTATATATGTATGTATTGTGCTGTTTTGTTAGTCACCTTTTCTGGCAATTTCTTCCATTATGATTTGGCAAGTCTATCTGTCTGTCTGTCTGTCTACTTCTAGCTCAAAGCTATATGAAAAAAGCTGGTCTGTATAGTGTCACGGTTGCTATTAACTATATTTAAAATCCCTGAATCAATCATCCAAAATAAATCAGTTTAAATAAGTGGACAGGCATCTAGAAGGACAGTTTATCATTTAGCCCAGAGAATACTATTTGTCTGCTAGCTGGAATTTAAATGTATACCTTAATGATAAATCAATACCTGAAGATATGCTACAGTCAATAAGGAAGCAAATGCCATTCTTGTTCTACGTGGGAGGGAGATCTTCCTGGAAAGTAGATAGAGAGTTGTGATGGCTGCAACTGAGGAAATGCCCTAAAGAGAGGGGAAAAAAACTATTAAAACATCTTCCAACAACCCCCTAAAAGCCTTGGAAAGCTCCATTTTACAAAGCAAGCAGTCCTGCTTTCATCAGCAGTCAAATAGGTAGGGGAACAAGCCTTAGGTATACTAATACATACCTAGCAATTTTCAAGCCCTGCCTTCTTGTATACCTTATTACTAGGTCAACAGCAGTTACTGAGACTGAGATTGTAGTCTCCACTAGGCTCTATTATTTTCATAATTTTTATATTCAAATCCTCTTAATGGGTGGGTTTCCAAACATTATTGTAGTAAATTTGCAATAACCTTGTTTTAATGGATCATGCAAGCTACAAACTGAGCCAACATTTTTACTATTTTAGCAAAAGTGATCTTTCTGATCTTCAAACCTCGAGAATTTTTTTAAATTATAGATGGCAGGAATTGAAATTAATATCTTAGGTATGTAAAAGCTAACACTCCATCTAAACTGGTAGAATTCATTCCCATAACCTTAGGTTTTTTTGTGTATTTTTTTTAAACTAATCAGCTAAAAAAACGATTACTTCATAGCATAAAGGCAATGATGCATACCAGGATTCTGTGATCAAACTGCACTGTTGTGGGATTCTCAAATATATTCTTTGCCATTGGGGAAAAAGCAAGGAGATCATCAGGTATCCAGCGTTCTCCCATCTTAGGAAAGGAATTATATACAAGACCAGCATCCAGTCCAGCCACAAATGCTCCTACAGTTTCAGAGAACAGACGCTGACATACTTGAAGGTATATTTTCAATAAGATTAACTATACAAGATTTAAAGTTTTCAAGATGATAAGTTTTTATCCCTGTACCATATAACATTTCCTAGCTCTCTATACAGTCCTTCAGGTGAAGGTATTTAAGAACTTTTGTGTCAGAGAAAAACGCAAATCTTATCATGAACCTGATGAAGCAAGGTCTTACAATAGATGCATTTTTCTTACCTTCCCCTATTCCCCACCTCTAAATTTAATGCGCCAATAACAGAGACATTTACCTGAGAGGGCAGTGAGAAAGATGAGTCCTGAAGTCCCATAAGCAAATTTTCTTAGGCGTAATAGTTGTTGGATTTTAGGTAGCTGCGAAAACACAGGTACAATAGTATATGGTAGAATTCTTTCATATATTCTACATAAAAAGATCTTACAAAAGCAACGTATTTTCTGATTATATTCCCCATTCTCTGCCTCCTGACTAAGCCTGTATAGGACATATCTGCCATACTTCTTCCCTATTCCAAATACAAATGTTGTCTAGGACTATGGGGTACCCAACCAATATTCAAGATACAAGCCTTTTCCAGTCCCATATTTTACATACCTTATGTTGTGGTAGCAACAAGGATAGCCCAGTCCATAAGCTGTAGCAGTAAAGAACAAGAGCAGATCCCAGATGTGCAGTTAAACGATATTGACTGACCCGAGGGATATCACAGGAATCTGGCTTGTCCTCTAATCCACTTTTGACCATATACCAGCCCAAAAGACCCTGCAAAAATAACAAAATAATTATATGGAAACAAAGTTCATTTCTTTTTCTGCTAATATATATATATATATTATATATATATATATTACATGCAATTTCCAAACAAAGATTTACTTAATTAATCATCTCATTTTTCACTGTTATTTTGGAAAGAAAATTCTTCAACTTATAGCAAAAAGGTTCAGTTGGTCTAGAACAGGGGTAGGCAACCTTGGCTCTTTTATTACTCATGAACTTCAACTCCCAGAATTCCTGAGTCAGCATAGCTGAGTCATAAAAGAGCCAAGGTTTCCTACCCCTGGTCTAGAATGTAAGGGCACAACCACAGATGAATATATCAGTGTGTGCACATGTCCCCACTGCAACACAATCTGCACTAGTTACTACCAGGTGCAATTCAAGGTTACTACTGATAAAGCCTTTCATATCACAAAGCCTGGTTACTTGATGGACTGCTTGTCTCTGAATTTGTATGCCCATCTGATGAGGTTAAGCAGAGTGTACATGCTCTGGGTCAGGGGTCTCCAACCCATGAGCCACGGCCCATTACTGGCCATGGCCTATTTCAAATTGGGCCGCGTGAGCTATAGACAAGTGCACATGCACACGAAGCTCCATTTGTATGAATGGAGCTTTGCACACGAGCGCAAGCACCCTCCACTCACACATGAGGTTCCATTGCTGTTCTCCCAAGCTTGGGGTAGGTTGATTGTGTAGTCCCTAATGGTTTGGGGATTGCTGCTGAGTTAGCCTTCCTTGTGTTTCCTTGATATATTTTTTGACTGTAAGCTGCCCAGAGTCATAAAGGAGCTGGACAAGTTTAAAAATTGAATTTAAATAAACAGGATAATTTCTATAGCCTGATCTCTCTCTCTCTCCTTCCTTCCTTCCTTCCTTCCTTCCTTCCTTCCTTCCTTCCTTCCTTCCTTCCTTCCTTCCTTCATTCATTCATTGCATAATCATCTCTAGCGCAATTACTTCAAGCTTCTGCAAGTCTACCAGTCATTTCAGCCTTTGACTCACACATATAGCTCAGCACCAGCCCTTCGAATGTTCAGATATTAGAATTTTTCATTTCCTGTCTCAGTTATTTTAAAATACCACAATCATTTATTCCTAAATTCCAATAGCTATTCCTACCTGAAAGCAGACAAGCCCACATAGGGCGAGGACATGACCTTTCAAGGATTGGCTCAAGTAGCCCTTTCTCCAGAAGTAGGCTGCTGGGAGGATATAAGCCAACCCCACAAGTCGCCCCCACATACGATGTGAGTACTCCATGTACCAGATGAATTTGAATTCTGTCAGTGTCATGTCATGGTTCAGGCTGTTGCATTGGGGATTTTTTTTTCAAAAATAGGGGGAAAAAACAGCAACAAAGTTAAATAATTTCTCTCTAATTTTCAACTCAAATTCCCTCAAAAAAGCTGCCAAAGTCCCCCTTTCCCGCCCAACTTGTCTGTTGTAGAAAGAGAACCACACTAATACTAGAATTCCTCTTAACTGAAACTGAGTTTGAAGGAACTTACGGTAAATACGAATCATACTTACATTTTAAACTCTGGAAATTGCTGATACTTTAGGAATTCTGTCTCCCATTCCTCCTGTGTTTGAGGAGGCTTCATCTCCCGCACTAAGTGCCAGTCAACCATTGAAAGCCCAGATTCTGTCAACCTTAGAAAGAGAACAAAGAAACTATTTATCAGGGGAGAAGGTCCTTTCATGTTAAAATATGATAGATGTGCCTATCTAGAAAAGCAGAGTTAGAACATAACAAGACTATTTAAAAATTGATTCAGGGACATAGATAGATACAAAGCAGATGGGGGAATTTACACACAAACCTATTAGTGATTAAAAAATACTTAAGATATGCATATGCAGTAAAAATACTGTACATATTCTATAGGTTTTCCAAGGGAAAAAGAAACAAGATTATTTTAAACACTCTTGGGGATTGATATAAACAGTCATATAAAAATGTAATATATTTAGTTTGCACTTTTAAATGACATGCTCAGCTCAAACACTAAGACACAGAACTCCTACCTCAATAATCAAAGACATAAAAAGAATGACACAAGTACTCAAAGGCAATGTATTTTTTTAACATTCACTAAAAGACACTTAGCATATCCAGCAAAGCTATAAGGAAGTTGCAAAAAGATATTTTGTTGGATGTAAAAAGTTCCATTGAATGGAATGCATATATTGTGAGAGAAAGATGGGGGGGAGGGGAGTGTTTGAGAATGAGAAAGTAACTTTCCTCACCTAGTTATGCCACCGAGCACCACAGCTCCAGCCACAGTACCACTGCAGATTATGAGCCAACGTCCTATTGTTCGGTCTGTCACAGCATTGGGTACAGGTGGTACTGCCACTCTGGAATGTGAAGCTGCTTCTGAAACTGCACTGTGTTGTGCCCGTTTCTGCAGGAGCTGCCACCACCTGAAACATTGCTAAAGACAAAGAAGGTGGTAAGACACATTAACTATTCAACAACCCTTTGTATAAGTACTTGGTACACTACAATATTACGTATTTTTAGTACTGGACTGGACTGACGAGATAATTGTTAAGAAAAAAAAGAATCACAACCATTGGAAAGATGCACTTTATAGTAAAAAAATGTTTTTGGTATTTCATTTTCTTTCTTCTGTTCAATTACGTCTGATTTTGGAAGACGGGCTGGATAGACTCACTGCAGTTTCCTTGGCAAAGTTTTTCCCAAGTGCCATTTTCTCCTTCCTAGGACTGAGAGATTAATGACCTGCCCAAGGTCACCCAGCTGACTTTGTGCCCAAGGTGGGAGTAGAACTCACAGTCTCCTAGTTTCTAGCCTAACCAATACACAAAAGTGGTTTTCAATATATCACTTAAGGCAGTGTTTCTCAACCTTGGCAGCTTGAAGATGTGTGGACTTTGACTCCCAGAATTCTCCAGCCAGCTACTGTATGCTGGCTGGAGAATTCTGGAAGTGGAATTCACACATCTTTAAGTTCTCAAGATTGAGAAACACTGACTTAAGGTGTATTTAATGGAGAAGATATTGTACTTTTAAAAAGCACAAGAAAAAAACACATTCACAAGAGTTCTAACAGAAAAAGATACATTAGAATGTCAACTGATTTGACCAAAGAAGCTTAGTACAACTTTTTATATTTTTATTGTAGAAGTCAGTTGGGCAGATTTCACACAAACAGTAATATCCACAGCAAATAATGATGGCAAATTAGCAACACATGTACAATAATGTCATCATGCAACTGTAAAACGTATACCATTGTATCCCAATATATGATCAAGTATGTAAGCCAAGGCATTTGTATAATGAATTTTTCCCTCTGGAGATGACCACATTCATAAGTACCTCAAAGAGAAAAGAAGCTGATAGTAAGGAACTACCATCTCTATCAGCTTATTCTGGATTCTTATCCTTTGAGCTTGTTTCTTGCAGATGCTTTATTATGAGACACCGGTGAGGTTGCCTTGTAATTAAATGTCTGCGAGAAGAAAAGCAAACTGGGAGAACAACAAAACCCAGCAATTCAATCATGAGTTATATATTTAGTACAGGTAGTCCTCAACTTACAACTGCAACTGGGACCAGAATTTCTGTTGGTAAGCAAGGTGAATGTTAAGTTGCACCCAATTTTACAACCTTTCTTTGCCTTGGTTGTTAAGTGAATCATTGCAGTTAAGTGAATCATATGATTATTAAGTGAATCTGGCTACCCCCATTGACTGTTGGAAGCCAGTTGGAAAAGTTGCAAATTGTGATCATGTGATCCCAGGATGCTGCAACATAAGTACATATTGGTTGAGAAGCATACAAATTTTGATCATGTGATTGTAGGGATGCTGCAACAGTCGTAAGTGTGAGGACCAATCATAATTCACTTTTTGCAGGGCTGATATCATTTTTAACAGTCGCTAAATGAATGGTTGTAAGTCAAAGGTTATCTATATTCTTCATTATCTGCCTCTTAGCTGGCTGGCCAAGCCCTTACATTATACTGTAAGGCAGATTAGCAAAACTATCACAAATGAAGGCGAATATACGTGTCCCAGGATAATATTGCAGGATCCAATCTGGGTCGGCCACTAGGACCAGAGGTTGTCGGCCACTAGGACCAGAGCTTTCGGACTTGTGCTGGAGCCCATCCTCAGGGAACTGCTCTCTAGCCAAGATAATTTCCTGAGGATGGGGGCTCCAGTACAAGTCTGAAAGCTCGGAAGACAAAACCTCTGGTCCTGATGATGGACCCAGATTGGATCCTACAAACCATCTATTTTTGGAGATGTTGATGTTAACCAAGTTATCACAGCCATCCATTATAGGAATTAGAATGTGTTAAGAACTGGTAAGCTTCCCCCCCCCCATTCCTATTCCATTTCAGTTCCATTTTGGACTTTTTTGGACCAAAAATTAAGATCAGGTTTTGTCTTGTTTTTGCTATCTAATAAGCTGTTTTTAGTGCTGAAAAGCAGAAAGTAAACACTTTAAATAAACAAGGACATTTTTACATTTTGGTTTGCTGAAATAAAATCTTTCCACTTTTTTTTACATTAAAAACCTAATGATGCAGAAAGTGCAGATTCCATTTTAAAGGATGTGTTCGAGTAAATTGACTTTTTTTTCTGGGAAACAGCAGTACATGAACTGTGACAGCATGCAATCCTTGGTTTGGTTGATATATTACCCAATACATCACCAATTATCACAGAAACGTGATCCGAAATCCCTTAATAAATTATTAGTTTTACTAGAGCTACCATGTCTGGGTGTAAGACTCTGTATTACCATGAAATTGCAGGAGAGAATAAAAAAATTAGCTTTATTATTTAATTTTTGTCCGGGTCTTTGCAGCCCAAATGTAATAGCCCTAGCTTTAGAGATCAGGAAGTCATATTCTAATGTGCAAGTACCTGGCCCGAAGAATTTCCTTCACGAGCTGCCAGCAAAAATCGAGTACCTCCTAGTACTGTCCGTAAGAGCATTGCTTCAAGTTACCGCGCGGAAATAGCTTTCCTCTAACCCAGGGGTAGTCAACCTTGGCTCTTTTATGACTCGTGGACTTCAACTCCCAGAATTCCTGAGCCAGCTTAGCTGGCTCAGGAATTCTGGGAGTTGAAGTCCACGAGTCATAAAAGAGCCAAGGTTGCCTACCCCTACCCTAACCGGAAATAAGGCAACCGGAAACGAAGTGCAGTAAGTTCCATGGTATCACGTGAGAGTTGGCACGGCGCTTCCTCGCGTTCAAGGTCAACACAGGTGAGAGCGTGGGGGCGTGGCCTTCTTCCTTTCCCAGCAGTCCCGTCAACCTTAAAGCCACCTCCGGCGGGGCTCCCGCGTGACTGACGTAGCATGAAGAAATGGGACCGGAAACGGGGCCCGGTGGGAGGGTGCGAGGGTGAGTGGGTGGAGGCGAAATTAAGAATGGAGGCCGGAAGGAATCATGAGTATTGGGAAGGCGGAGTTAAACACATACTCTTAAGTCCGTACGCGCCCCCCCCTCCTTTTAGGCTCAGAATAGCTTCGAAAGAAGCTAATGGTGCAGTGGGGAGTTTTCGCTGGTGCCCCACTTCTGCCTGGGTTTGGCTCGCTGCACTTAGCTGCATCCATTCAAGAAAACTTAGCGGAAAAGGCGCCGCAGATAAGGGGGCTGATGGTTTTTTTTAGAATAATCCTTTGTGTAACTTAAGACTAAGTTCAGTGAATTCAGTGGTTTTTGATCCCAGGTACGACGTAACTCTGAGCAAGTTCCGCTGGGTTTGGGGTTTACATGTATGGGATTGCACTGCTAATATTAATCCATTTGAAATTATCCTTAGATGTGGAGGAGTATAATATAGAGGAGATTAGGGTAACTCTTCTTGGCATACTTTAGAATGATCTTCGAAGTGGGTGTGTATTGGCACACAGAAATCGGCATCAGCACGTGTGCTGTGGGATCAGAGTTGCAAAGTGATGGAGTTAGGCGCTTCTTCCCCCATCATGGCTCTGGTGAAAACCATCTTCCCAAATCTACTTTCATTGAGAAAACACAGATAGTAAAGACTTTCATTATTTTTCTGCTGAATAAATAAATTGGTCTCCAGTTTCCCATTCTGTTAAAATAATACAATTACAGTAGGGTTATATAAAATTATATTTAGTTCAGGCTAGGTGTTCGCCCTTACAGCTTCTAATTATTTTTTATTTTGTTCTACAACTATTAGTACATTTCAGAGATTTTTACCTTTTCCATAATGTAAGGCATTGCATCATATTTACGTAAAATAGTATAAGCAATTAACAATACAATGCCAGTATTAGTGCAGTTAACTGGCACTATACATTTCAGATGAGCATGGGATCCTAGTATTCTAAGATTAAGAACAGTTGTAAAGCATGATTACTATGCATAAGTATGTCTCACTAGGCTATTGAATACTTTATAATTGAAAGATTTGTTTTGGACTAAGAACATAACAGTCTATACAAGAAGTTAGAGATGTTAGAGAAGTTAGTTACCAACTCGTGGGTATTTTGCTTATAGTTAAAAAGTTGATCATAGACAATTGTGTAAGAAACGCAAAATAATCAAAATCTTGATGTTGGTGCATCACTTATTAGCAGTTGCAGGTCAGTTTTTGTGTCTAAAATCTTTCTGCATCAGCATATGATGCTATTTTTATCATTTATGGATGCCAGATCTTTCCTCAACTTTGCAATTCCTGTAAAGCAGCCAAAATACTTTTAAATTATCTGAAAAAAAGTGAGAGGGAAACCAAATCAGTTTTACTCATTGTATTATATTAGAATCTTTTTACATGGAGAAAAAAAATTGAATCTTTAATAAGCAAAAATATTATTGGTATTGCTCTGCTCTTCATGTCCTTATCTTAATTTTCTTTTTTTGTGCTTTAGGAAAATCTTTAGCATTACCTTTAATTACCTTAATTATTTTATATAATGCATGAGTGCTGAGATATTTTCTTTCAGAAGTTTATATTCATTCTGCCTTTAAAAGTAATATGGAAGTGGTTGAAGATAGAGTCTTTTATTAAAGTTTTAGCTTTTCAGTAATAATTTCGGGTATGTTGTTCATACAGTGCTGTTTATAATAACATAGAACAGAACTTAACTATTAAATGGAAATCTAGTAATTTTCTGAGTTCTGAGTTCAGATAGAAGAAACTGAGTGAGAGCTACAGTTTGAGATATATTTTTCACCTTTTTCATAAATAGTCTCACCCTTTTTCTCAAGGGCAGAATCCAGTTGCCCCGTAACTTCTGCTTTGTGTTTCTCTTCAAGGAATGGCCAATGGTTTTCTCATGGAAGTATGTGTTGATTCAGTGGAATCTGCCATTAATGCTGAAAGAGGAGGTAATTCCATAAAATAGAAGCTGAAGACATTGGGACACCTACCTCTGGGGGAAATAGGCTGAATGAATTGCAAAAAGCATTATGAAGCCATTTTCTTTTGTGTGCTCTGACACAGGCAAGACACCAATTTATATGAATAGAAAATTTATATACAGTTGTTTTAGAGCTTTTGTGTTGTTCTACTTTAATCAATCCCACAGCAAATCAAGTGGAATGCATATTCACTTTTTGAAATCACATATTACTACCTAGAAGTCCAAATAAGGACATTAAATAAGGCCTTTCCTTGTAAATGATCTTTCAGGAATGCCCAGAAACATTTCTATCTGTTACAGCAAAAAATGGATTGTTCCTAACATCTGCTTTCAAATAGTATATCTGTACCTTTTGCAGGTGCTGGTCGCCTTGAATTATGTGCCAATCTGATGGAGGGAGGAATTACACCAAGTATCGGTGAGTTGATAAGCTGAATCCAGCCTCTCAGACTTTACAGTGATGAGAATCGAACACTACTATAAAATGTTGTAAATTAGTCCTTGGTCTACAGCTCTCCAACTCTCAGAGATTACTTTTCTAATTGAAACTGGAATGTTATGGCATTAGCCATGTTTTGCTTTTTAGAAGCAGGTAAAGACTTTTTCATTTTTGTTCATATGCACTTATTCAACATCCCTTTTATTTCCCAACCTCTTCAGGAAAAGGTCAGAACTTTCTTTTTTTTCTTTTGGATTGTTGCTGCAGGAAGCAGAACTGAGGAACTAGTTCTTTTGTGTTGGCATCATTATCTTTTGTTATAGAGTAGTTTACTGTCTTGTCACATTCATGCCCTGCCCCAGCTTTTAACTGAAACTGCCTTACCTCTTTTATTACTTATAGGTCTTTTGCAAGTAGTAAAGCAATGCACAAGAATCCCCATATTTGTGATGATCCGACCCCGTGGTGGAGATTTCCTCTACTCTGACCGGGAAATAGAAGTGATGAAAGCTGACATCCAACTTGCCAAGCAGTATGGAGCGGATGGGCTGGTATTTGGAACTTTGACTGAGGATGGCTATGTGGACACGGAGCTCTGCACGGCACTGCTTGGTTAGAGTCTTGCTTTCCTTAGGATTTGTTTGATTTCTGTGACCATAACTAGTACACCCAAATCTCAGATAGAAAAACCCCCAATGGTTTCTTATAGGTAGATGTTATGACCCCCATACCTTATTGCTTGGGGGGAAGCAGGCTCATTCTTCCAAGCTGAGATGGATATATCGTTGGGGTATGATTATAGGAAAGTTACAATAATATATTTAATAGCTTCCCATTCATCTAGGGGTATCCTATATTATTATTACAAGGAGTCCATTTTCAGTTCTTTCTCGTACAAGATGAATTATACAGTTGGTTTTTTTTAATCCAAGGTCTCATTTTCAGAGAAAAAGAAATACTGTATATTTCCCAATCACTCATAACCCTCAAGGACTTTTCAGCTGCCAGCTTTCAGCTTCTTTAAGGAAGTCTGTTCATTTCATTTAATTTTATGTTCATAATTTCTAGACAGTTCTGCATCAGAATGGATTCTGCAAATTTATACAGAAAGTTCAAAGTGACAGATATAGTCCATATAGTGCATAGTGCAAATAAAAATAAATATAATTTTAGCTATAAATCTGAAAGGGTATGAAGCAAAGGCAAAGCAATTAGTTACAATGTATGGACAAATAAAATTATTTTGATCCGATGCTGAAAATATAGTCATACAGGTCCAGGCAGAAGAAGAACATTGTGGCTTCAAAATCTAAGGGACTGGTTTAGACAAAACTCAACAGCACTTTTTCGTGCGGCTGCTGATAAAAACAGGATCGCCAACATGATTGCCGATGTCTGATAACGGATATGGCAGAAGGAGGAGGAGAAGGAGAAGGAGAAGGAGAAGAAGAAGAAGAAGAAGAAGAAGAAGAAGAAGAAGAAGAAGAAGAAGAAGAAGAAGAAGAAGAAGAAGAAGAAGAAGAAGAAGAAGAAGAAGAAGAAGAAGAAGAAGAAGAAGAAGAAGAAGAAGAAGAAGAAGAAGAAGAAGAAGAAGAAGAAGAAGAAGAAGAAGAA